CACATCCTGAGATGCAACAACCACCAGTTCGGTATATCATGGTACAATACCCAATGCTTATAGTCGCTTTACACTTAACCAGTTATAGTAACCACAGCAGCAAAACATCCAGGAATGCCCTGCATCCACCCAGTTGAACATTTTACAGTTTTGAAACCACCACATCGTCGTATCATGGATGCGTGGGCGGGTCGGTCTGCACCAACCATGGGAAATCCCACAAAAACAGACCAGACTGCTGGGAGGTTTGAGAAGTTTGCAAGGTTGGACTGCTATAGTTACTATATGTTACTATCATTTACTATCTACAGTCTCACTCTTGTTGCTTGTCTCAGTTGATACCTCCCCATATTTCGTGGTTTAATCTACACTGACACATCTTTGATGTTTGAATCCACATGGACGGTGGAAATGGCCCGCTGAGTTGCCCTGACGCGCAATTCAGCAGCGACTTCACTAAATCCTCTGGGAATCAGGGACGACTCACCAAGGTGGAAAATTGAAAAACGCCCATTGCCCATACAGTATTTTGGCAGATATTGATGTCATTCTGGGTATCAAGAAGTCTCAAACCACATCTGGAGATTGGAATATATTGGAATGGTAATGGTATCAATTTGGATGGTAATAATTGATGAATCCTATTGATGAATAATACCATTCCAATGATGAATAATACCATAGGTGAATAATGGTATCAATGGTATCAATTTTGATGAATCCTATTCGGGACATGTCAAATTGCGGCCGGCACAGCCAGCTGGATTCAGCTGGATATGAACCACCACTGCCGGCAGCAATGGGAATAGCACAGCCAGCAGGGGATGATCCACACATATAATTCTCACATGCTGTGAACAACAAAAGTGAGTCAAGGCCGGTGGTATCTAAGTTTTTTTTACAAATTTAACAACAATGCCCTTCAACAGGGGTACCAAATACTTACAAAATATTGAAAAAATACCATGAGATCATTGAAGTTTCGGAACCCCTTTATTTCGATTCGCCTCCCCGAGTAGCTACGCGCCTGGAGAATCGCGGCCACTTGCTCTCGGGCTTGAACCTGGATACGGGATACCCGATGATCAAAGATGATATTCTCAGCCTGTTGATTCTAATGTTGATTCTAACATTGTTACCAATCTTCAATTAAAAACTATTAAAGATCTCTAACTTTATAGTGACGGACAATCACTTAGAACGTATTTTGGAAAAAATTTTCTGAATATTACTGTTTTTTTTTACGTTCTAAGCCTTGCACATAGAACGTCGAAAACCATACACTTAGAACGTCCAAATATCAAGATTCATCACTTAGAACGTACCGGGGATTTAACACTTAGAACGTGTCTAGGTCACTGATTTAACACTTAGAACGTCGAAAACCATACACTTAGAACGTGTCTATGTCACGTCATATGGTAATTGTTCATAATTATAGTGGCGGACAATCACTTAGCACATTCTAAGTGTTGGTTTACGTTCTAAGTGATAAATGGGCCTAAGTGATATTTTGACGTTCTAAGTGATGAATTTTCCCTACGTTCTAAGTGATGAAATTTTGCTACGTTCTAAGTACGAAAAAAAACATTGGAAAACATTTTACGTTCTAAGTGATTGTCCGTCACTATAAATGGAAATAATTCAAGGAATAGTGATTTTTTTGATTCATGTAGAAACTTTGGAGATATATTATGTTGTATTTTTTTCTACGTGTCCCATGTATGTTATACATATAATTTATACAAATAAACAAATAATTAGATAATATACATTCCCGGCGCGCTCCGTTTTGTCGGCCGGGGTCGGCCGAGATCCTTTCGTGGAATATCATCAACAGCATGTAATCAACTCTGGGAAACCATTCTGGGTCATGATCCTGGGGGTCGATCGTTGAGTAGCCGCGTTCAGAAACTGACCGGCCATGATAGGCGTTGGGCCATTGTGACCAACAATACGATAGTATATTTTACGGTATGGTCATAAAAATAAAAGATAAAACATCATTTGATAACCAGTATATAAATGGTATGAAACCAGCTATAGCCCATGCGTATCCAGCGGTGGCTGATCTGGGTAATCGCCAGCGATTATCATGGCGAACAGGTAGCGATCCAGGCTTAGAACAAACTGCGAAGTGATCCATATTTACAAGCTGTATGCTAGTCAGCAATTTCTGATTATGTACAAGCTTATCACTTATCCACTGTATTATCAACCCATTGTGATTCAATTGTCCCCTGTTTCACTGGTCACTTCACTGTTTTCCTTGGTAGACACTGGGTTACAAGTGCCAACCCGGTTTCTGTAGGAGGAAAATTGTGGTTAACTCCTTAATCATCCACCATTTTGAAATTAAAAGGGTTATTTACCCCTCAAATGCAAATCAAGGATCGTTTATGGATTTGGTTTTACCACATGAACCGGGTAGCTGCGCTAAGGTAGTTTTTTTGCTTGAAACTAAACGTCTTGGAAAGATGCAAACAATGGAAGGTGAAAACACAAACAATGATGGGACACTACTATTGTTTTTTCTACGATAGTCGATAGTCACAGAAGGTGTTTTTGCTGAATTTTGTTGATGGAATCCGAGTCCAGCGGATGGAGAGAAATGAAACAGCGAAGCGCATGGCTGAGTGTCAAAAATATGGTGGGAACAACTGTGGTACCCTCTGGTAATTTAACATAGCTATTGAAAATAACCATTTATAGTGAGTTGTCCCATTAAAAATGGTGATTTTCCATAGTTATGTTAGTTTACCAGAGGGTAAAAGTCATCATCTCCCCATGCTGTCGGAAAAGCCGTCAGTTTCCAGGACGCTCATATGGCCATTCCAGACTTTGACTCTGAGCGCTGGCAGCTTAAAATTATAGCCTGGGAGATGTTTTCCAATAGCCATCACTGTCGAAAACACAAGGTGAGGTGGTGCTTAGTGCTGAATGGCCTACATTTTATATTCATTTTATGGAGGGGATGACTTGAATCACTTGAAGTTGCTGAGGCCAACTGGGGCTCTTTGGAGTTTTTGATGGCCATGGAGGGTCCGCAGCATCTTGGCTTCGCAGAATGTCCCGGCAGGGAAAGTTATATAAATTATATAAATCAATTGAATAAAAAAACGTTCAACAAAAACCAATAGTTTGCTGGGACAATCCCTAAAGGGTCTTGGAGTCTTTTTTGTGCTTCTTTTGAGGTGGCCAAAGTTGTTGCTGCAACCTTTCCTGCGACATTGAAACGTCAGAAGTCCTTCATTCAGGTGCCATGAAATGGGGTTCCCACTGGGTGGGCTGGTGGAGTTTGGCCACAGAAATCTGCACCCTTGATGCTGTTGCCTGCAGGAGTCCTGATGCATATGAGGAAACAGGCAAACTGGCCTAAGCCAGAAGTGGGTTAAGAATATTGGATAATATTGGCATATAGAGTCTAGAGTGGGTGATTTTGTTCCATGTCTGACACTTGGGAATTCCTAGCCTGTCAGCCATGCATTCGCTTTCAAAATGATCTGTGTCCTGTTTCTGGGCAAAGGTCCACGTAGTACCGATACTTTTCAAATGGGCTGAAACCTACAACCACTCAAGTTGTTGAATTGGGACCAGCCTTGCATTTGGTGAAGCTATCAACATAGCTTTATATCCTCTCGCTGCATGTCACACCCGGTGACCTCATGGATCAAAGCCCCCTACGTTTCACTTTTCGTTTTGAGCCATGCTAATTACCATCAGATAAACTAACATAGCTATGGAAAATCACAATTTTTAAGAGGTAAATCAACTATAAATAGGCCATTTTCATTAGCAAAGTGTTAGTCATTACAAAGGGGTAGATCCTAACTTTCCTTGAGTTGCAAGGACCCCCTTGGATGGCCACGGCAGGGGCAGTATTCCGAAGCACTCTATCAGGCGGGGCATGGCCGTGACAGGTCGGTACCATTCGTCTAACACGAAGAGTCTTGAGCATCAAATAGGTATTTAATATGTTGTGAGTTGGTTTTATATGAAGACATTTTCTTACATGATAGCTTTTCATTTTTTTGAACATATACTGTAGATACAATATGATAGAATTGGGATGAATTGGGTAGATACTCAAGGCCGCCTTGCTGAAAAATTTTTGAATGGTCAGACGGTCAGACCTTCTTGGCGGTGGACGATTTTCTGGACAGCGCCAAAGGAAGAGAAGAGGCCGCCCTGGGGCATGGAGCTGTTGACTGCGTAGTTTCATGGCTAGTTTCATAGTAAACCTTGGTTGACTGGGTAGTTTAACCATTTGACTAAGTAAACATGGGTTGGGTAGTTCAATGGGTCTTTTGCTTGCAGAAGTGGAGGTGGTTGACCAGAAGAGACCAGGAGTTGGGATGAACCACTTGGCAGGTTGAACGGGTGCTGGCAGCGGCTCCGCCAGTGGAGCGGGATGTTGAGGAGGAGGAGTTGAGACCGGGCCCATTTCGCACTTGTCCGGGAGCAAACCATCCAGATGCTTGCGATATACTATACTATACTTGTTTCGGAGATTGAAATTCGAACCGGTTTCATCGGATTGTCCCATGTGCTGTAGTACTGGGGTATCACATGAGGAAGTTGGTGAGTTGTTCTATCAAACACAAACTTTGATGTATCCAGTGTCGTTTCACAGTGTCTTGATGATCTCAAAATGGTTCACATTTGTCAGATCCAGACTCATGGTTGATCATTTGTCCTCATGAAAGTTGCCATAACTTGGTGTATCCCTCACGGAAAAGCCTGTACCAAGCTTGAGCTTACAAGCGCCATCCGACTTTAGCTGTTTCTGCGGCTGAATGGATATACCCTGCGTGCAGTTGCTGAGTTTCAGCGATCAAATCCACTGGGGAAAGCTGATCCAACGACCTGATTCAGTGGTCCCAACTCTGATAAGAGGTGGCTATGGGTCCAGTCATTGAATGGGTATAATGTGGTTTCCCCCAACGACAAACGTACCATTTGGGGATGAATTGTTGGGTCACCATGGGCTGCCCATGGTAATCGATGGCCAACTTTTGAGCCATGGCTTTCGAGCGCTTTGTGGCCCAGCGAGCGTCTCAGGCCACGAGGGTAGCTGGGCTGTGGCGGGAATTTACCTGAATATCCTGAATGCACCGTTCTCAGACTGTTCTCTTGCCATTTCTAAAACTTGCGAAGTCGGCCAAGATTTCATGTTTTCTTGGCCAGGTGAGGGCCAAGGGCGAGGATGTGGGCTCTGGTTGGTCACAGGAAGCCTTGCTGTCAGGTGCCGGTGGGGATGCTCAGGACTGAACGTGGCTTGGATGTGCCGGTTGACTCTGATTTACCATCCAACGGTGAGCCCCGAAGTCGAGGCTGGGAAGCCTTGGGTGAGTCGACCAGGCGGGGCCGCGGAGTTGACCATTGCTGGAACTCACCATGGAACTCCAAGAACTGGGTGAGGACATGAACATGATTTCCTCTCTGGAGGTTGGAATTTTATTGATGTCCACAGCAGGTGAGAGATGGCTAAAGAATATGTAGTTCAGACCTCTCCAAATATAAATGAAACATGTAGTGCGTCCAGTTTCAGTGGCCCATGCGCACAACATGTTGTGAGTTTCACACCAAGAGCCCAGAGGCATCAGCAGCAAATTCCAAGTGACTCCCCATCTTGGAAACTGGGAACCGCTGAGGAAAACATTCACTTCCCAGTGCCTTGTGGGTCAAAACCCTTTACCGTAGTGCCGCAGTGCAGACTTCTTGATATTTTGGTATGTCCTGGGTCTGAATTTGACCTACAGCCTGTTCTGCCCCCAATCGCACGATCTTCCTGTGAGGAGTTTCCGCGAACTCTACGGCTTTCCTGCGACGCTGGCATGGGTGTCTGCCTCAGCAATTCCATCCTGGACGTGAAATGAACAACCGCCAATTCCCGCACAAAACTAGATCCTTCTAGATATCTGCATTTCTAAGTGTCTGCATCGGTGTTTTGTCCAGTTTTTTTCCCGGTAGGTTTTGTTTTGAGAATTTGAGTGACTCGAGTGCCATCATCAAGGGCTGTATGGGTGACCATCCTTAGGCTGCCTTACAGCTGAAGGATCTCCCACCAGCAAGGCTTGGCCAGTGAAAAACCTGTGGCAATCCAACAGGCAAATGGGTTAGTGTAGCAGTATAGCAACCATCTGGATGCTGCTGATTTGCAACAGTTCAGCATCCAACGCTGCCTGGCACTGGGCATGTACTTCAAGTCTATTTGCCAGAGTATTTGCTGGATTTTTACCCTCCTATTTTAGACACCCACTTTGTACAGCACTTTTTCTCATTAAACACATGGTATATACGGTGTACCATCGCCCCCAACATCCCCTACCTAACATAGCCCTGGTCATTTTTGGGGCGTTGGAGTTACAACCCAGCGCAGGCATGTGGAGGTATGGATCATTGGAGCCCGCAGCGGCATGGAAGGATGGTTGGCGGAGGACGCCCGGGGAATGCGGTGTCAAGATGAGGGGTTCTTTGAATCACTCACTGTACACTGGCTGGTGAAAATGTGTTCTACACGGGGGGGCCCAAGGAAGACTGGCTCCGCAAAGTCAACATGGTATGGTTTACTACTGTCGGAAGTACCAAAATCGTCCAAAATCAATCCAAACCCAAATTTATTCCAAAGTTACCCAAAATGATTCCAAAATCATCCAAAACCTTTGGTCGCGAGGAAGGCAGCTGGGATTTCTTGATCGAGGCAGCAGCTCCAGTGTCCTTGGGTTCGGTCCAGTGTTCAATTAGTTCAAACCGTTTTTGAAATATTATTGACGGACAGTCACTTAGAACATATTTTTGAAAAATAGTTTTTAGAGTACATTGGGAGCTACGTTTTAGAACATCCAAAGTCCTCACACTTAGAACATCTCAAGACATTACAACATACACATATTTATAAATATCTATTAACATAGCTACTACATATGCATATATGATATATGATATATGATACATGATAAATGATAAATGATATATATATATATATATATTATGAATATATATGTACATAATATGTACATAATATGTATGGTTTAGGTTTAAGATGATCTCATTTTCCAACGATGAAGCCATCCTTTCATGAAGCCATCCTTTCAGAAACCCCATGGCCAACACCACTCTCGATTTTGTATAGTTTATAGCAACATCCGTAAACGTGGATGGTGTCTTCTTCGGTCTCCCAAAAGCACAACACCGCATGTTCAGATCTTCCCAACGTCGTCGTGGAAGCTTTGTTTGATTGGACCAGAGATGCGTGAAGACCTGAGGTGGGCTCACTCAAATTGCTATATGGGTACCATTCAGTAACCATCATGGGAAACTCCCCATGAAAAATGGAAGTTTTAATCGGAAACTCATATTACAAATGGGGCATTTTCCAGCGAGCCTTGTTTTATCACCGGAGGGTACGTGTCTATGGAAAAACTGAAGTGACTCTTTTGTCCATCAGTCATGAGATTCATCCGATTGTTTCACAATCCCCGCTTCGCTTGCCTATTGGACGGGGACATCCCGCAAAAGATGTCTGCTCTTTGTCGGTTAAGGTAAATCCTTTTTGGTTTACAATGCTCTTCGAGTCCTTTCCGAGCAAGCAGCTGTCAAAGACATCAGATGTGGTCAAGTCAAGTATTTGGGGCAGACCGTCAATGGAATTTGCCATCCACATATATCCACATGATATACATTGGCAAACAAACATAGTCATGACCTTTTACCATTCAATAGCCTTCGGCAAGCCGCCGATCTCAGCTTGGGCTAGTGGTGTTGGGCGCATGGAGCTCCAGCCAAGAAAACCGCGTGTAGTCGTATAGTTTTTTCAAAACGTACATATTATGACGTTGATGGTGGGGTTTGGGTGGGGTTGGGCAATAACGCTCAAGTTACTATGTCTCCGTCTGGGTTGGGGTTTGGGTTGGGTGGGGTGGGGCAATAACTTTCAAGTTACTACTTCTATGTCATGGGTTGGGGTTTGGGTGGGATGGGGTGGGGCAATCACGTTCAAGTTACCTCGCGCAGCATGGGTTGGGGTTTGGGTGGGTGGGTGGGTGGGGTGGGGCAATAACGTTCAAGTTACTACGTCTACGTCAGTACAAATGCTTCAATGCGTCTTTTCGGCTTTCATCTTAACGTCTTGACATCTTGCCTCTTTCATCTTTCTGATGATCAGCTGCTACATTTTCCATCGTTATCATTGCCTTGTCTTAAACTTATATATAAGTGTACTTCTGACATACTTTTTACATCTTTTTACATTGTTTATACTTACACCTGAGTAGGTTGTTCCTCAACGCTCTCGGGCCATCTGTCGTCTAGTTGCATATGTTGCATTGGCTATCCCATCGCCCTTTTTTCAGGTTTTTTGATGTCGTTGCATGTCTTACAATTTCGTTTCAGAAGACATTTCCAGGATTGTAGTTTTGATTGCACATCCAGCCATTCTTGGGTAGTGAATTATTTATCGATCCTCAACCCTTTCATGCCCATAGATGTCTCACATGTCAGCTGGTTGGTTGATAGAAAAAGAGGAGTAAACGGGTAAACCCTAAACATTGAAATTGCATTTTAACTTGTAAATAGACACAATTCTCATGAACAAAAACGCCCGCTAGACGCTTTGGCATGCACGTGGATTTGGCTGAAGCGTAGAAACCCTTTCAAGACGTACCCAAAACTGACCAAGCGATTGGTGCTTCCAAGTCGGCCATTGAATGAAAAACGATCCATCAAAATTTCAAACCTGGCCAGGTTGGGTGCTCGAGTGGAGGTTGAGTCTGCACGACTTCAGGCTGCGGCGACTATTTGGGGGGAAGGTCCAGCCAGTGACTGATTCCATCTCCAACTCCAAACGAAATGCAATTATTCAATTGACCATTGAAATTTGGGCGCCCAATCACAGCCGAACAATCGTGGACGTCAATGTCCATGCGGGGTTGCTTCATTTCTTGGGATTTAAATCTATGCATGTACCCCCGTTTTCAAAAACCATATCCCAGGGGATTGGTTCGCACCTGGATTTGCTACCGCTGTCAGGGCCATGAGTGGATTCAGAAAGATGGTTTGTGCCCCGATCTGGTGGCTGGGGCACCTGAGAACACCTGGAACACTTGGGCTGGTGGGGTATGCAGTACTCCTTCATATGGCCACTTGAATGCGAAAATTATGATAAACCATTACACATTGATGGAGTTACACATTGATGGAGTTACACATTGATGGAGTGCCTATGAAAGACATGACATATTGATGGGGTACCCTATCGTCAGACAAACCCATGTGCGAACATGCTGCTTTTGGATGGCATGGGTTAAAACAAATGAGGCATGCCGAAATGGCCAAAGAAAATCAGTTTTTTTCCATCATTTGAACCATACCTTTCCAAACAAAACCAACATTTTCAAGCCTTTCGTGTTTGCGAGAACCTACACGCTGCGTTTTGAAGAAAGGATTGTGAATTTTCCAACGGAAACGCCACGGCTGCAAAGGTTTGTTTCAACTCTGGCATTGGAACACTATCCGTGTCCATCACCAAACCCTGGCTGCTGACCGTGGCTGCATTGCTGAAGCTAGGTGGAAGAGGGCATGGGGTAAACATGGGACAGATGCCAGACGCTGGTGTCATCGTCAGCCCTCAGCGTGCTTGGGGCTGTGATTGTTTAAAATCAATTTTCCGTTTTACTTTGAGCCACTTCAACCCTTGGGACTTGATCCAGCGGTGTGTTGTGATGCCAGATGTGCCAATTCTCTTCACGTGCTTCGGCTTGAAGGAGAACTGGGATACAGTGATGGCTAAGCTTCTGCGACTTTCCATAGGTTGGCATTGCAACTTTCAGGCATCAACAAAAAAAAATATTATGCGGGTTTTAAACTACAACCATGCATTTTTAATTAACAACAGTTTGGATGTTGAACATTGGGATTTAAAGCAGGAAACATTGGGATTTCAAACAACACAAACGATGAATCTGATCAACAAAACGGTATTTTGTCCAACCCTAATTTAAGCAACAAAAAATGGTTTTGAACCAAGAACAAAGAGATAATTAATAGAACCAACAATACAGTTTCTATCTTTTGATCAACAACAAATGGGAGGGCCGTACACTTGAAACAAAAAGAATAGGGCCATGGGGCTAAGCCATCAATGGAAAATGGGGAGAATGACGACTTTAACCAACAATAACCAGCAATAACCAACAACAATGGGTATAGATTCTAAATTATTTAAGCTTAGGCTTAAGCAGCACCAGCGACAGCGGTAATACGTGGACGGTCCACAATGCGACCACCGAAATGCCGAAATGGGGGATCAGATGCAGCTGGGCAAGGTGTTTCATTGATTCGAAAGCATTCGGAAAACATTCATTCCCTAAGTGCAGGGCGCATATTATGGACCTAACAACTCCAGCTTGATTGGAAATCATGGGACGCTCGGATGGTTGTGCTTCATAGGCAAGATCCATCGCCTAAGTCACTGGTGGGTATCCATTGGCTATTGCATAAAATTATACACAATTATTATATATTATTATATATTATTCAATAGCTATTACATATAATTGCAAGCAAAATGAACATGATAAGAAAATACTGATGATGATGATGATGATGATTTTTGTTATCATTATGATAATGACTATCATTGTTGTTGTTATCGCCATGATTATGGTAGAACCTGAAATTCCTAGATAGATTGGTACATTGTGTGCACGTGTGTGTGTATATATATATATATATTTATATACAATATGGATCGTTAGAATGAACATGGGGATTGTGATTTGAAGTTAAATTATCACCACAGCCACTAACACTAGTCATTTATTCACAACATTAATAATTTTAATCACATTGAAATTCATTCACTAACATGAATCATTTCAGCAATGATTTGCACGAATTCTGGCCACATAATGCCCCGGTTGACCTTTGATCCTTTGACGCTGGCGCAGCTACAGCACCAGGAGCGCAAGGGAGAGGACTGCCCCCGGATTGTTTTTTGTTTTTTTTTGCAACGATATAATGCTGCTTGGAGGCTGCCTCATTTGTTCCTGAACAAAAACATTTCCAAGTGATTCACATGGAAAAAACATATGGACACACTCAAACATCGTGGGTTTTTCATCATTTTTTCCATGACACAATTTTGAGATATCCCGATATCCCGACAAACCCCACAGGATTCCGGCCTAGTTGGTTCCAGGAGTTCCTTCTTAGGGGTCTATTCAAGGTGGGACCGCATGTTTTCGGAAGTTGTTTGGTGGATTATTTGGTCCTTTGGTCCACTTCCAGGTTTTCGTCTGTTTCAAAACTTGAGACTTTGAGACTTTGACTTAGCTCAGTTTGGCCCAGGATCGATTCTTAGGGTATTTTGACCCAAGACCAGAGGTCCTGGGCACTGCCAGGCTCGAGTGCTTGTGGACTTCCTTGAAAACCCATTTCGACAGAGGTGTCAGACGGGTGAGGTGGGGTTTGTTGGGCCAAATGGGCCAAATTTGACAGGATAAAGGATGATGAATCGGAATCCTCCATATTTAAAGAATCTTAAAGAACAATAAAGATCACCCCCAAATTTGGACTCATCCACTGGGCCAAATGGTTGTGGCTCAATGGGGCAATGGTGAAACAGAAAAGCTGCCAATGTTTCACGATCCCAACGGTGGATGGGTCAGATCAGCAGGCTTCCCATTGGAGCAGTGTTCAACCCCCCTGTTGATTGATGATGATTTGGGATTCTACTCTGTTACCCTCTGGTAATTTAACATAGCTATGGAAAGATCCGCCATTTTTAATGGGTAAATCCACTATTTCTATGGCCATTTTCAATAGCTTTTTGTATGTTTACCAGAGGGTATACTTTCCAATTTCCATTACGGTCCAACATCTTGGAGATTGTCATCCACCGTTTTGGAACCTCGAAAAACCCACCTGCGAAGTGCTCAGGCCGGGCGATCGACCCGGTTGCTATCGATCTCTTGAGGAGGCCCGGCCAATGATTGCAGGGGTTTGTCCAAAGTTGGAGGAGTTGGTCTCTCCAAAGTACAACATATATATATATAACATATATATATATAACATATATATATAATATATATATATTACACAAATATATATATATATATATGACATTGGTCTCTCCAAATTTTTGGAAGCTGAAATTTCTCCAAAGTTGGAGGATTTTCTCCCATTGCCTCAGGAAAGCTTGTCAGCTCCTGAAGGCCGATGGGCTGGCCGAGCCTAGACCACTTGTACTTTCATTGACATATGTATATATATATATATACTATATATATACATGATTATATATGTGTGTTTACGTATTTATATTGATAGATAAAAATAAGACATGAATATACAAACAAACAGATCAATACAAAAAACCTAAGTGTACATATGTATACATACATAATCATGTATCATTGATCAACGTGCCTTGACACTGACACAACGATTGCGGTTTGGTCACAGGTGAGGCGGAGCTCTGCAATGCGCAGTTGTGGTGGGCGCAAGGATTGGGCCTCTTTTTTGTTGGCGGTGAAGAAGTGAAGTAATGGCAAATATAACATAATATACCCTGTACATACCAATATCTAGAAATATAGTAACAACTATAATTAAAAGACAATTATTTATCATGATACTGTGGATGGTTGCGAAATCCTGCATCAGTTGATAGGTGGTTTATCCCATTATTTATAGGGTTTCAACCATCCCCTGTAATCATAGGCGGCTGGAGCATCCACCATGAAACAGGATCGCAGCTGAGTGCGGAGGAGTTGGATCAGGTGCGGGCGATTGGGCCGAAAGGTTGGTGTGGAGCTGGTGGTTGAGAAATGGGGGTTTGAATGGGGATAGCCATTAAGAATGGTGGTTTTAAATGACTATATGCGGAATTGATGATGCTGATGATGATGATGATGATCGACGATGATCAATGGTCAATGGTCATTGCTGATCATTGGTATCAACCCTGCATTAATAAACCCCTGGGCTTTTGATCATCGGGAGTGAGTAGTATTTTAGTAATAGATGACATCACTAGTCTTGGGGGGTACTTCTTTTCTAAAAATCGGGGGATGATAAAAAATGAGTATCTATCTTTGTATTTTATCATGATGATCATCATTTTGATGAATCACTATGGCAATGAAATTAAGATAGTAGTCATCATTGTCAGTGAAAACTGCGAACCCTAGGGCGAGTTCACGAGAGACTCAGAACAGGACATTTGTTGGGGGTGGATGCCATCGTGCCTAGCCTGAGGTTCTTGTGTTGAAAAAATAGGTTTGGAGGGATTTCTGGTTTTTTGGCATACCTACGGTTTTGCAGTGACCCAGCAACTGCCTTTTTTTAGAGGTTCACCAAACCCTGCAGTATTTTTCAAATTATGCATTCCCTGAGATGTGAATCAAATTGGAGATCCATGTCCAGTACTTTAGATCATTTGCGATTCATATGGGGGCTGCTTCTTTGATCTGAGGTTGCCTTGAAGGCACCCAAGGTCTTGGAGGAGCTCACCCAGAGCTATGCCCTGCAGGTCTGGTGTGGATCATGGTACACCAATGAGGTGGTCAAAGCACGGGCTATATAACTCGGTACCCCAAACTGCAAGATCTCGATGGTTGAGTGGTTCCTTCATGTTCCTTCCCTTGACAGGGTGCCCACAGAAGTTGGATCTTGGCCCTCAAAGAAGCCAGGGCCCTCAGTGTCGGACATTTGCCCCGTGACAAACGCAGCGTTGGAACAAGCAGAGCGTACAGAACAAATTGGGTTTTCCTCAAAGACCCCTAAATCATCTTGGCCAGGTCCAATGAGGAAACCAATTCGGGTACTGACAGTCTGATGTTGCAAAGTATTGGTTGCTTCTCCACCCGACACTATGAACCGTCTGCCTTTCAAAAGACATCACAGGTGTTGTGACTAAGCAAAGTTGCTGAATTTCACGTGACTCAACTTTCCTATTTGAATGCACAACGCGGGGCAAAGCGCCCAGGGGAACCGAAGAGTGGGAGAAGCAGCGCGGGCCTTGTCAAACCATGGTAGGATGATCAAAATTTCGGACAATCCGTGCCACTTGAAAAAATTGAATCTGAATCCAACCAGCAGAACAGGAATAGTCAGATCTATCGGATCAGTTATGGAAACCTTGACCAATGGTGTTTTTTTTTTCGCAAATCAAAGGCCATCATGACTGTTACTGTACCCTGTTACCCTCCAGTTGAGCATTCAAGATAAGACATCAAAGGGACGAACGATAGTCTCCCAGATGGAGATTAGTTGATAGCTTTGACGCGAACTGGGAGTCAAATCTTAGTCACCCAAAAATGTTGAAGTGATGTTCTAAAATGTTCTAAATACATTGATTTAGTTGTATGCACATTATTTGCATGTTTGCCCGATGTGTATTATACATATACTTACTGTAGAGTTTCACACCCATGCATCTATTATATACATGTATGACATTTATTTTTAGCTATGTTTAAGTATATGTCATGTTTATGTCATGTTTATGTATGTGTATATGAATACTAACGTACACATATACGTATCTGTATGAATATGTTTCTTGTATGTGTATGTGTATATGATTATGCGTACGTATCTGTTATGTGCATGTACACATATGCACAAACACACAGTTAGACCAGAACAAGATCCTTCGAGAGGTATACAGTATATATGTATATACATGTACACATGGTTTTGTTGGTAATTTGAAATCACAGTGGATAAACTACAAGCACTGATTGCAACACGAACTCCTAAGTCACCTTGAGATGAAAGAACACTTTGCTTTGGCAGACCCTTTCAGGCCACAGAAACTTGATTTTCGTTTGTTCAAACCCAGAGTGATACTGTACTGTTTTGCATGTTTTTTGTCTTGTGTTTTTGTCCTTGTTGTTTGAAACTAAGTTTCTTTATCTTTCCAAGACCTGGGTAGCAAGCAAAACCCTTCAAGACATCCGCAAATGTGTCATTTGCAGAACTCCACACGCATGCGTATGTAATGCGTGGTATCAAAACTATTTGCACGCATATCCGCTAATTCTGCCCATATGGGCCAGAGTATCTCTGGTGTACAGATTCCTGGTCAATTTCAAGAACCGTCGTCCTTAGGCTGTGGAGAATTTCCAAATAGCTTTCAACAACGTGGACGTGCTTCGGTTCGGGGACCTGCAGCGGGGGTATGTGGTCATCAACAAAAACACTGGTATAAGACCAACCACAATGGGCATGTTAGGGGAACCAGCAACAAGATGACAAGTTTGGGTTTGTCCATTTGGAGTTTTGTCTTTCGAACATGATTTCCGGATCCAGGGCATGGAAGGGGATACCCTACAGTGTTTTTTGACATACCCAAATGGCATGTTTTGGTTGGGGAAAAGGTATCGAAGTGTTGATTGCAGAGTATTTTGGTTTGAATCGCGCTTTTCACAGGGTTTTGTAGCTTTGCGAATCCTCAAGCGCAGTTGATATCAAGCTTCAAGAGTAGTTGGTCAATTTGGATGCCCACCATTTTCAGAGGAGTGGCACAGTGCCACATTCCAGGTTTGCAAAGCGAAACATGATGGGGAAATTGAAATCTAATGTGCTTGGCCACCACAGCTTTTCTGCAAATTGCTGCACTAGCGTCACTAGCGTGGCCAGAAACAGAGCTGAGGGCCTTGTCGAAATTTGCCAAGCACATCGCCGATGCCATGGTAAGTTTCATCAGGAGGCACTGTCGTCTGCGGGCTTGGGGAATTTGGTGGTTTTTCAGGATGCCCTTCGTGTGTCCCTGAAAACAATGCACAATATGCACAATTAACTATAGATAATCACCAGCTTTAACTATAGTATCTATAGTATCAATATTCATTCAATCCACTTGACTCAATGCCAACGATCCCTAGATGACATTCAATTTTTACCGGACAGATCCAGTAGACATACGCAAACTTTGGGGGTAGCCCTCGCACCCTTTGGCGATTTATCGGTTCAGGCATGGTCCTCACCCAAAGGCTAAGCAGTGTGCAAGGGGAGCCCAGGAGCACCAACCGCTGGATGGCATCCTTGCTGACTTTTGGAACAGCCACAAGGTATGAAAACAGAGCCTTTTTTGAGGTAATTCTTTTTACATTTGTATAATATATATATATATAATATACATATATATATACATTATTGTAATTATATATATACATTACTGTAATTACGTATATATACACTATAATTAAAGAATTATATATACATACTATGACAATAATACTTATAATAATTATAAAAGTAGTAATGCTAGTGAAAATAATAATAGTATATACAACAATGATAATATATATATATATATATTATAACTATAATAATAACAATAATATATTACACCTACAATTATATATATACATTATATTTATACATACATTATAATTATATATAATCATTATGTGTATACATATTATAATTATATTATATTATACAATTACGCATATAATATAAATTATAATATATATATAATAATAATAGTAATAATAATAATAATAATAATATATATATATATATTATTGTTATGTAATATATCTATTATATAATCATACATACACACATACGTATATATATATACATACACATGTACGTATGTAATATTTGGACATCCATTTCCTGGCTAGTCTAGGAGTTCATCACGGTATCCAGGGCCATCTGGACCCACATCCACATATTCATGTAGAGGCCCACCGCACCTAGCTGCTGATGGTTCTAAGTTCTGAGGTGGGGAAAATTTTGATGGCGAAGGTGCGAAGAATGCTGCCTGAAGGCCATGAATTGGGCGGGTGCTGCTGTGCTGATGGGTTCAGTGATGGGACCGCATCACCTCTTTGGGTGGAAAGCGGATTACTATTCAAGTTGTTTAGGCACACACACAATTATTATATACTGTATAAATATATATCTATATACATTATTCAGGCTGAACACCAGATCCGTATCCCCACTGTAAATTAATATAAATGAATATAGTTGGTCAAATCTCCATTCCACCCCAACTCATTTGAATTCCCAGTTGATGTCGGTGAAACCTCCAGTTCTCTCAACTTTTTGCCAAAGAACCCATCAGCTTCCTGCCATCGAAGGTCACGATGATCAGGAGCTTTCTGAGGTGCCGCCAAAGTTGCCTGAAAATAGTGTACCCCTACACCCAATGGTTAATGATCATTATCCCTACTAAATGGCTATAATTGGGGGTATACCCCATTTTCAGACATACCCATATATCAGAATATTTAAGGGCTGCCGCCCCTGCCGCCGACCCCGGAAGTTTAAGACTCTCTAAGTTTCATCCAGCTGTCTTGTCGGCTTCAAATCCCAGCATAACTTTCTCCTGCCGCTGCTGCCGCGGATGCTGCCGCAGAGCTTCTAATTTACTGGTGTTACTCGTCCTTCTGCTGGCAGTCAAATAAGTTTGAATTTGTGGCCTCCGGCGGCTCGGAAGAAAACAGCTTCGAAAAAAGTACCTCTCGGCAACAAAACACTATGGCTCTGAATGACGGGCTAGTTCCAAAACCACGCCAAAAATTCTAGACAAACAGCCTTGTTCGAGAGATTCTGTCGCCTGCAGCTGCTCGCAGGACTGGTGGCGGCTGCTGCTGCTGCGGATGCCGGTCAACCAGCTTCGAAAAAAGCAGTTCCCGGCAACAAAACATTATGGCTCTGAAAGACGAGCAAGTTCCAGAACCACGCCAAAAAACTCCCTAACCGGTCGTCTGAAATTCTATAGAAAAACAGCATTTGTCGAGAGATTCTGTTGCCTGCAGCTACTCGCAGGAAAATAGCTTCGAAAAAAGCACCTGCCGGCAGCTCCCGGCAGCAAAAAACCATGGCTCTAAAGGACGAGCAAGTTTTAGAACCACGCTAAAAAACTGCCTAACGTGTCGTCTGAAATCCTGGAAAAACAGCTTTTTTCGAGAGAGTCTGTTGCCTGCAGCTACTCGCAGGAAAATAGCTTCGAAAAAAGCACCTGCCGGCAGCTCCCGGCAGCAAAAAACCATGGCTCTAAAGGACGAGCAAGTTTTAGAACCACGCTAAAAAACTGCCTAACGTGTCGTCTGAAATCCTGGAAAAACAGCTTTTTTCGAGAGAGTCTGTCGCCTGCAGCTGCTCGCAGGTGGCGGCTGCTGCTGCTGATGCCGGTACAATAGCTTCGAAAAAAGCAGCTCCCGGCAGCAAAACACCATGGCTCCGAAGGACGAGCAAGTTCCAGAACCACGCCAAAAAACCCCCCAAACGTGTCGTCTGAAATGCTAGAAAAAATGTGCTAGAAAAACAGCAAAAAAACAGCATAGAAACAGCATAGAAAAACAGCATTTGTCGATTGTCGAGAGATTCTGTCGCCTACGGCTGCTCGCACGACTGGTGGCGGCGGCTGCTGCTGCTGATGCCAGTAAACCAGCTTCGAAAAAAGTAGCTCCCGGCAGCAAAACACCATGGCTCTGAAGGACGAGCAAGGTCCAGAACCACGCCAAAAAACTCCCTAACGTGTCGTCTGAAATCCTAGAAAAACAGCACATTGTCGAGAGATTGTCGAGAGATTCTGTTGCCTGCGGCTGCTCGCAGAACTGGTGGCGGCGGCTGCTGCTGCTGATGCCGGTAAAACAGCTTCGAAAAAAGTAGCTCCCGGCAGCAAAACACCATGGCTCTGAAGGACGAGCAAGGTCCAGAAGCACGCGAAAAAACTCCCTAACATGTCGTCTGAAATCCTAGAAAAAAAGCATTTGTCGAGAGATTCGGTTGCCTGCAGCTGCTCGCAGGTGGCGGCTGCTGCTGCTGATGCCGGTACAATAGCTTCGAAAAAAGCAGCTCCCGGCAGCAAAACACCATGGCTCCGAAGGACGAGCAAGTTCCAGAACCACGCCAAAAAACCCCCCAAACGTGTCGTCTGAAATGCTAGAAAAAATGTGCTAGAAAAACAGCAAAAAAACAGCATAGAAACAGCATAGAAAAACAGCATTTGTCGATTGTCGAGAGGTGGCGGCGGCTGCTGCTGCTGATGCCAGTAAACCAGCTTCGAAAAAAGCAGCTCCCGGCAGCAAAACACCATGGCTCTGAAGGACGAGCAAGGTCCAGAACCACGCCAAAAAACTCCCTAACGTGTCGTCTGAAATCCTAGAAAAACAGCACATTGTCGAGAGATTGTCGAGAGATTCTGTTGCCTGCGGCTGCTCGCAGAACTGGTGGCGGCGGCTGCTGCTGCTGATGCCGGTAAAACAGCTTCGAAAAAAGCAGCTCCCGGCAGCAAAACACCATGGCTCTGAAGGACGAGCAAGGTCCAAAACCACGCAAAAAAACTCCCTAACGTGTCGTCTGAAATCCTAGAAAAAAAGCATTTGTCGAGAGAGATTGTCGAGAGAGAGATTGTCGAGAGATTCTGTCGCCTGCGGCTGCTCGCAGGACTGGTGGCGGCGGCGGCTGCTGCTGCTGATGCCGGTCAAACAGCTTCGAAAAAAGCAGCTCCCGGCAGCAAAACACCATGGCTCCGAAGGACGAGCAAGTTCCAGAACCACGCCAAAAAACCCCCCAAACGTGTCGTCTGAAATGCTAGAAAAAATGTGCTAGAAAAACAGCAAAAAAACAGCATAGAAACAGCATAGAAAAACAGCATTTGTCGATTGTCGAGAGATTCTGTCGCCTACGGCTGTTCGCACGACTGGTGGCGGCGGCTGCTGCTGCTGATGCCAGTAAACCAGCTTCGAAAAAAGCAGCTCCCGGCAGCAAAACACCATGGCTCTGAAGGACGAGCAAGGTCCAGAACCACGCCAAAAAACTCCCTAACGTGTCGTCTGAAATCCTAGAAAAACAGCACATTGTCGAGAGATTCTGTTGCCTGCGGCTGCTCGCAGAACTGGTGGCGGCGGCTGCTGCTGCTGATGCCGGTAAAACAGCTTCGAAAAAAGCAGCTCCCGGCAGCAAAACACCATGGCTCTGAAGGACGAGCAAGGTCCAAAACCACGCGAAAAAACTCCCTAACGTGTCGTCTGAAATCCTAGAAAAAAAGGATTTGTCGAGAGAGATTGTCGAGAGAGAGATTGTCGAGAGATTCTGTCGCCTGCGGCTGCTCGCAGGACTGGTGGCGGCGGCTGCTGCTGCTGATGCCGGTCAAACAGCTTCGAAAAAAGCAGCTCCCGGCAGCAAAACACCATGGCTCTGATGGACGAGCAAGGTCTAGAACCACGCCAAAAAACTCCCTAACGTGTCGTTCCAAAACCACGCGAACAAAGTCCCTAACGTCACTTCTGACATCCTAGAAAAACAGCCTTTTGCGAGAGATTCTGTCGCCTGCAGCTGCTCGTAAAAGGTAGCTCCCGGCAGCAAAACACCATAAGGGACCTCCCGGATGGGAAAACTGCTGTTGCTCTTTGTGCCAGATACTCTTCTTCCCTTACGCGCTCCCCCTTGCGTCGGCCGGGGTCGGCGGATATCAGAACGCATGAATAGAAACTTCAGATTTAAGTTTGCGGGCTTGAACATGGACCCAGTTCAAGTGCCAAATGTATCCAAATGTCGTAAATTGGACTAGGCATGGACAGTTCATGTGTACTCGCCCAGTGAAAAACGCCACCCTGATCGTCCCCACTGGCTCTACTTTATTTGGGTGAAAATTCAGCCCCCGCAGGTGGTAGATGACAAAAGTTAAAGATATCATGGGATCCAAATTTTCCGATCATGCTCGGATTTTTTTTGCGATATGACGGTATAATTGACATGACCCTCCGGTAATATCACATGGCAATGGCAAATCCACTATAAGTAGAGCTTTCGATGGGAAAAACATAAAACTAAATCGGGAATTTTCCAGCCAGCCACGCGAGGCCGTGACTGAGAGGATGAGGGAGGATTATGCCGATGTGTTCGGCACCGCGCATGAAAGAAAAATCGCTGCGGGAATATGGAACATTAAGGAACATCCACCAATAGGATTTCCCATATTGGTCTGAAAATCCCACATACATTATATAGATAGTATAGCCCCTCAGAATATTCAACCGAAAAGGGTTTTAAGCATTGCTCAATTGATTTTTTTCCAGAAACCCTAAACCCCAAACGCTAAACCCCAAGTGGGTTGGTCATGTTTTGCCTGAAACATTAAGATACCAACAACATCCGAAAGTAGTATTTGTAATCTATACAGTCTATACATATCTACATATACCCTCTAAAACTAGATGCTATATTTTTTTTTCGATCTTTGGCTATATTGATATGCTAAACCATGTCCAAAAACGCCCACTGTTTTGGGATTTTAGGTCCCACATCGAGCGTCAGGAACGATCCCTCATGGAAATGCTGGAGTCGGGGGAGTTGGATTTGGAGGACTTGGAGGCGAGCCGAAATCATGTGACCAGATCCAGATCCCAGGGATGTCAGTCCCACATTTTTCTGGGGATGAAGCATTAACCATACAATAACCATACATTAACCATATCAACCAGCGAAAAAAAATGGGAATTGTGCATGATTGTGCCGACAATTTGTGGCGAATGACCAGGAGGAGGAGGCAGTTGACGATGATGACATGGTGCCTGGGCAGCAATAAGGGATACTCAATGCCCGTATGGATGCGCACTGCTCATGATTGATGGATTTCAATTGCAAACAACAATTGTGGTTTCAAAGAAAAAAGTGAAGCCGCATCCCCATTTTGACCCGCTGAATGCCGAAGATGATCCCATGCGAAGAAACCACACGATGTTTTTATTCTAAAGAAAACACATCGACACATGTTGAAAAAAACAGGTGAAACTCGATCATTTTTCGCAAAAAGAAACGCCAGCGCTCCTTGCGCTCCGTTGGGGGAAGATTCCTGTCCTGTCTGAGGACGATGAGGAGCAGGCCGCATCATCTTCAGCATGGGCGAATGGACAGGGACCGGACGGCAGCTTGGTGAGAATGGGAACATCATCTACACCTGTTGGATTTTCCATGGTTATGTGAATTTACTGCAGGGTAGCCTGTTTTGGTACTAAACACAATTTTTTGGGAATGGCCAAGTCCACTGTTTTTTTTGTTCGGTGTGGTGATGCACATCTGATATTCTTGGATTCAACAGGGATGGACAGACAGACAGCGTGGACAAACCCAGTAGATGGTCCATCACCAGAAGATGGTCCGGCATCCGCCGTTCTAGGCACCTCACCTTGCTAGAGTCAACATTAATGAATTGATGAATCATCCAATCCAGGTTGTTGGCAACTTTAATCAACTTTTAATGATGGGAAGTCTCCACTGCTACCAGCTCCAGCTCTGGTTGGATAACTCGGATCGCCCGGATCGAACCAAGGCATGGGCTGCACGGCAGTGGTGGCACTGGTACGGGGCGGTGGCAAGCCGGAGGTTCAACCCACCCCGGGCTGATGGGAGCGAAGGGAACGAGGGAAGTGACAGATTTCGACGACATAGAAAGATATAGAAAGATGGTAGGCTGAAAAAAAGAGGAGTTCCACTCTTCTGACTCTTCTGAAATCAAATCTACATCTTGGTTCATTTTTTTTCGACAGGTTCCGGGCCAAAGTTTGGGGCGACCGGTCGCCTTTCATGGAATTTCCAGGGCCATTTCTAGGGCCAATGGATTTGCAGATGGCTCACGAGGCGCTGAAAGTTGGCGTCGAAACTCTAGCAAAACAGGGCCCTGAGATTTCATGTTGAAAACCTCTCCAAAGTTTCCCTGAAAACTCACTGAATCATGGATCAAACATGGATCAAACATGATCAAACTACCAGTGCTGGGAGCAGCCATCTGGCCATGGCAATCCATGGCAGCGTGGATTCGCAGCAATTTCGAGAGTGTCTCCCTCTCGCTTGGGACATGTGGCCTGGGTGTTTTCGAGGTTCTCAATGCCCCCAAGATTCGGCTAATTCGACTGTTGCGAATGGCTTCCAACTCACCCCTGCGAAGTGTACTGAGAAAGCCGATGGTTTGTTGCCTGCCCGGTTTGTGCCTTGTCCAGCTGCTCGAATTCAAGCGTGTAGATACCTAGCCTATTCTTCACAAGGTTGCACACAGGCGCAGATGAAAAGATGTGTAACTCTAAAGCAGAAGACAAGGACAGAACGGATGACAGTTAAATCTTAAAAGTTGAGTATTGAAAGTTGAGCCTCCACTTCTACTGACTGAGACAGTCACTGACACTCCAGTTCATGGTGATCACACTGCGCTGACGGTGAGATGGCACCCAAGAAGAAGGCTTTGAGAAGGGTATGACCTGTGGAGAAATGGAAAGCCTTGTTTTTCTCCACAAGATGACTTGTTTGTGGGTCAAAAAATCAATTGGGCATTTCCTGAAATGGGGGTACCCATGGGTACCCTAAATCGTCCATTTTAATGGGATTTTCCATTAAACCAACCATTTTGGGGTACCCCCCCATTTCAGGAAACCTCCAATTCTGCTAGTAACCCCCTTTTATTTTGGTTCCGACAACTTGACCATTGATCCATTCCCACAAAACACATCCGCAGGGTCATCCCGCCCGCAGAAGTCATATTAATGTATAATATATAAGTAGATCTGCAAACAAATCAAACACATATATGAATATAATATGTAAATATAAATCAGGAAATAACACAAGTGTCTCTTTCTACATCTGTTTTTGTATATAATGTTATATAATCATCTTGAAATAGATATACCATCTGGTTGACGATAAGCAGCTTGGGATGTTCTGCAAAACTCAAGACTCAAATGGACAGAGCTGTCTCCTGGCTATCCTTCTTGGTGCAGGGGGCTCGTAGTAATTTTTGGGGACTAGGTTGTCCTGCATATTGTGGTCATTTCCCCTTATCGTCCTTTGCACTTCTCTTCATCTTGGGCTGGATTTGTGGAATTCTCACTGCCATTTGGACTTTGAATTTCTTGGCCCCCTGGTTTTGGCCTCAGCCCGATCCAGCTCCTGTCACCTCTACAGCCAGTCTTCGTCTGGCTGGCTATTTGCATGAGCAAGGACCCCTGCGACAACGGCGTCGTTGAACTCACACTACGTCTCAGGGGCCTCACTATCACGGTCTCCGGACCTGCTCAGCAAGCTTCACAATTCCTCTCGGACATCTCAAGCCTCACCAGCACTTCTTCCAGAGCATCAGAGCCCTCATCTACCAGATCCTTCTCTCTGGTGGGGTCAGAGCATTACACGGCTTCGCAGGGTCGTTCCAGAGGAGAAACCAGGCAACAGATTTTGGACTCTTTTGAAAATTGCCCTGTGTATTTGCTTGACTCTGCTTCACGTTTGGAAGGGGGCAGAGAGCTGGGAGAAAAGAGGATTCGTAGAGCCTTTTTGGCAGGACAGTGGGCTGGGGCGGTGCTGGCAGGTCGAGCAGGATCTCCAGCCAGGACCGAGCAGTTGGCCCTACGACCCAGAGTTTACGTGGTGCTGCGAGCACAGGGCTTGGCATCACCCGTAGTCTTGGGCTCCTCAGCTGAGTACTTCCGCGTGGTCGGAGATTTGCAACATTCAGAATCCATTTCCCATTCATTTCCTTCCGAGACGGAAGTAAGGGCTTATTGTGCAGGAGCACGGGTGGAGTACCCAGGCCTTAGGAGATGAGTGTAGACATGGCAGAGCTAGAGTACGAGTCTTTGGTGCCTCTAGCAGATGGAAAAGTGAAGTATGTGCTAGATTGGGTGATTGGAGAAGAGGAGGATGGGCATGCCGAGGCATTAGCTTTTGTGGTTATGAAAAGAGCGGGAGGGCTCTTGGCTGCAGTTCCAGTTGGCTTTTTCCCAGCCGAAGTTCTGGGGGGAGCTTCAACCAGCCCTTTAGGCCTGGTAGGGCCGTCCACAGAAGTTGTTGTGCCAGGGGTCTTGGACGAAGGAGGATCAGAGCAGCCCATTGGTGCAGATTTGAGTGTAGCGTTGGTGGATTTGGATGCAAGCGTCGGTCAGCAGTTCAGGCTTGCAGGCGATGTAGAAGATTTGGCAGTTCCTTTCTCCCAGGAAGATCAGTTTGCAACTCCGGAGTCAAAGGCCCTCCAGGCGTTGGCAACGAGTTGGGTTTCTACTATGACTCACTTAGACCAGGAGGCTTCAGATGGTTGGTACAGTGCAGTGGGCGTCACAGAGGCAGTTTCCCCAGCAGCCACGCCGTCACGAAGAAGTCGGCGTCAAGTTCCAGGTGGGGATTTAGGTTCCGCAAGTGCACCAAAAGCAAAGAGGCCGACCACAGCGAGCCTTCAGGCATCTTTGGAGGTAGTGATGAGTACGTTGCCAGAACTCACCAACACAGTGAGGCAGCTAGCCGATCGACAGGCAAGCTTGGAGACGCAGTTGGTGCAGAGTTCCAATGTTTCAAGAGCCTTAGCCCAGCCTTTGTCTTCTCAACTGGCAATATCTGCGGAAGCGGTTCCCAGTGTGGCCAAAGCAGTTCCGCCACCTCCCAGAGTTGCTGCTCGTTTACCTTCGGAGGTGCATTTGAGTGCCGCTCCAGACGAGCTGCGGGAGTTGGAAGTGGAGAAGCCAGATCAGGGAGGAGGCTCAGAGATTGCTCGCGCGATGCTGGCTCAGTCAGCAGCCCTTACTACATTGGTTGCCCAACTTGCGGGCACATCCCAAGACCCTATGGCAGATCTTCAACTGCCAGGGGGTGCGGGCACACGAGGCTCTGCTGGCAGGGCGAGACTCCAAGCAGAATTGGCTCTTCACAAAGGGGTCTTCTTCGATGCGGTGCTTCGAGCTATGTCACGGAGGATGGCACCTACCTCCCGGCGGACAGAGCACCGTCGGAGCTCCTTGCTGCCGGCGTGTGCGGAACGAAGTACCTCGAGAGATTTGGAGGGTACGGCAGATTCCGCGATTTGGGGATGATCCAGTACCAGTTGATGACTGCTTTGGATTTTATGATGACAGAGAATTGGGGTGCTGCAAAGGATACAGTTGCGCTTCTGACTGTGTGCATAGAACAGGCAGTGCTGGATTCAGGAAGGTTCGAGGTGGCCCAGATTTTGACATTGCAAGAGGATGTGCCAGCAAGTGTTTTTACAAACCGTCAATTGGCTATGACGTCCCGTGCAAGAGCTTTCGCACCTTTGTCAGATCAGCGGTGGGTGACCACCGCAATCGCCTTCTTGAAGGAGTTGGACACAATTACAAGCAAGCGCAGCGAGCTGTTGGGTTCTCAGAGGGACTCAGGAGCTTCAAGCAGCACAGCAGCCCCTTCAACTACAAATCCAAAGGCAAAGGCAAAGCGGAAGGGTACTGGAAAAGGAAAAGCCCAATCCAATCCACCTGCGGAGGAGGAGGAGGAGCAGTAAAGAGAGAGCAAGAGCCAAGGAGGGCGGAGGAGCTTTTGAATGCCTCTGCTTCTTTCCTTGACTGGTCCATTTGTTTGCCTCGATGGGTGCTCGCAACTCGAACTGACTTTGCATGGCACTTGGCGAGGTCTTTTTCTGTCAGATGGCGAAGTACATCTGCTTCAACCGCTGTGCTTCCACTGCCTGTTCCTTTTCCAGAAATTTTTGACAGCAGTGGCCCTCGGCTCAGTGCGAAGCGGCTTGCAAAGATGGCTAGAAAACGAGTTGTCCACATTTTGGTTATCATCTTGGACTACTTGTTTCTCGGTCGCTTCCCTACACCCCTTGAGCTGGGGAGACACCCATCTGGTGAGCAGCTGGCGTGTTTTCGGAGGTTGTACGCCTTCGTCGCAGCGTGTGGATCCAGGTCAGAGGAGTTTGATGTGGCCCCTGGCCGATCCGGCCCTGAATTGATTGCATGCTTGGATAAGCTGGAGCGTTTTGCCGAAAGAGTGGAGGTTTCAGCTTTTGGTTATGGAGATGGTGAGAGAAAGCCTTTGAGGAGCAGTCCAGTCCTTGAGAAGCGTAGAGCACAAGAGCACCCTGAACTTCAGCCATACAGATCTTTAGACGTGGATAGGTTGAAGATCACAGGCACTGGGAGCTGGCCATTGGCTTCCTACCTTGAGTCAGACTTGTGGCTCGCCTATGAGGAGCCTCGCTCTCTTTTGCATGGACTTTGCACTGAAGGTGTCCCTGTTCCAAATTTTGAGGGTGAGGACAGAACAGAGTACTTGAAGTTAGCGCGTAGATGGGATGAACTGGAGTTGTTGAGGCTGTCAGCTTTTCCTTTGTGCGAGGGCCATTTTTGCAAGGTCTTCAACACTTTCAACCCATCCCTTCACGATCGTCAGATTGGGGACAGACGGATTCCAAATAGCAGAGAGTATGCAGCGGGGGGCCCCTCGCGTCACCTGCCGAATGGACCTTTGCTTTTGGGTTTCATGGTCCGGAGGGGCCAGAAGGTGCTTGGCAGCCTGACAGACAGAAGAGATTTTTATCATCAAGCTGCAGTTTCTGAGGAGCGAAGCAGGAGCAACATGACCCCTTTCAGTTTCAGCAGGGATGAGCTGGAGGGTTTAGGTGCTCTAAAGCAGTTCGATGACAGCCAGCGATTTTTCGCAAAGGGCAGAAGGGAGGAGGTTGGAGACTTGTTTGGCATTGACAAGGTTGAAAAAGTCGCTTCAGACACTCCACTTTTTCCATGCTTCGCGGCCTTATTTCAGGGAGACCACTTGGGCGTCGAGTTTGCGCTGGAAGCCCATCAGAATCTCCTGCGAAGGGAGGGCCTTCTCACACCTGAACAACGGCTGCAAGGCCATATGCCTTTGCCTCTTTCACGTGTCTGGGAAGGGCTTATCATAGATGATTATTTTGTGGTCAGCTCAGAGCCTAGGCACTTGAGAAAGGAGGAGACGTCAGTTTTTGCCCATCTTGTGAGAGCGCGAGAAGCGTATGAGAAGCACAAGCTTCCCGGCTCACCAGAGAAAGAAGTGATTGCAGCCGACCTCTTCAAAGCTGCTGGAGCTGAAATCGACTCGCGTGATGAGGTAGTCACAGGAGGCATGTGTTTGGTAGGCGCTCCTTTGGCAAAGCGCTTGGGCCTTTCTTTGCTTTCTTTGAGGACAGCCAGGCTGCCCCTGATTTCGACAAAGTTGGCTAGCAGGCTCTCAGGCTCATGGGTTTCGGTGCTGCTCTATCGACGATGTCTATCTTCAGTTGTCAAAGACTTCTTTGCTTTGGGTGCTCAAGGAGAGGAAACAGATATGGTTTTGCGTCTTCCTCGCAGCCTTGCAGAGGAGCTAACCATTTTGGCCTGCCTGGTGCCAGTAGCAGTTTCTGACATCTCCGCACCTGTCCAGCAGTCTGTCTACGCAACAGATGCTTCACTTTCCAAGGGCGCAATTGTGAAGACAGAGGTTAGTACCCAGATTGCGAGGGTGCTATGGCTAGATGGAGACAGGAGAGGCTGCTATACGAAGTTGGACAATGGTTTTAGGGCTGCTCTGAAAGCTGTGGGGGAGTTTGATGATGCTGACGGCGATGACTCTTCCTTTCCTTCTGGTGATGTCCTGAATCCTGGAAAGCCACCTCTCTTCAAGTTTGACTTCATTGAGGTTTTTGGAGGAGCTGGTAGTGTTAGTGATGCCATGCGAGATCTTGGGCATGTGGTTGGGTCCGTTTTGGATTTGTCCTTTTCACGGAAGTATGACATGAAGTCCCTGGAGATGCTTCAGTGGATCATTTACATGCTGAAGGAAGGACACCTGCGCTCTGTTTTTGTTGAGCCTCCATGCACCACTTTTTCCCCAGCCGCTCATCCAGCTTGTCGTAGCTACAAGGAGCCTTTGGGGTGGTCACGTGAGAATCCGACAGTTCTTCATGGGAACAGCCTTGCTTTCAGGAGCATGACCATCATCTACGTTTGCAAGCGATACGAAAGGCCTGGTGGTTTGGAGCAACCTCGACTCTCAAAGATGGCCTGGACGAGCCCCTGGCAATGGCTTTTGACTTTGGGTTGTTCTGAAGCTGTGATAGCCAGTTGTCAGTTTGGCTCACCTCACAGGAAAGAGTTTAGACTGCTGCTTACAGGTGTTGACGCTGAGGGGCTTACCAGGAAGTGTCCAGGTGGGCATCAGCACTTGCGTATTGAGGGCAAGTACACAAAAGGCTCAGCAGTTTATACTTGGGGGGTTGCTTGGCACATTGCATCAGGTTTTTCAAGAGCTTTGCACAAACTCAGACAGCAGGAGGCTGAGGACGTTTTTGGTGAGAAGCTGCAACATGAGAGCGTTTTGGTCAATGATGTTTTGAGAGCTGCAAGATGGGAGGCCATGAGAGTTTGGTTTTGGAAGTCGAAGGTGCACATTAATCTGCTTGAGACATCGGTTGTCGCCTCACTTTTGAAGCAGATGATGAGGAGTCATCCTGGCACCAGGCTGAATATCCTGCTTGACTCTTCAGTTGCAAAGGGAGCTTTGGCGAAGGGGAGGAGCTCCTCGCTGGGGCTTCAGCCTATCCTTCGGAGAGCAGCCGCTTGCCAGATAGCGGGAAATTTGTATCCCGCGCACTCATATGCACCAACAAAGCTCAACGTTGCAGATGATCCAACGAGGGATGCTGAGATCAGGTTGCCATCCACCCTGAGGCTGAGAGACCTGTTGCCAGTTGAAGTTTTGCGTTAGCTCCACTGGGGTTTTGCCTCACGACCCAATGCAAATTGGATCAGGCTGGTCGTTCTTGCATACCTTTGCAGTTTTAGCCATGCCTGTCATCTGCCAGGTCAGTCTTGGCATTTCTCAGATCCTCAAACGTGCTTCGCTCTCTTTGATGGATTTTCTCACACCATCCACCTCAAGCCTCAGCCCTTTGGACTTTTCTGGATTTTGGTTGGGCTCATCCTTCTTGCGCTTATCAGGGGATCTCTTGGACTTTGGGTTTTCTGCTCTGACCACAGGACTTCCTATAAGCATAGCCCTAAAAGAGCCCCCCTGTATCAGGTAGGAGGTAGAGCCCTTAGGTTTTGGATTTTGTGTAGTTGCTTTTTCGCCGTGCCTGCGCCCATGGTTCCTGAAACTGCAGCTGAAAACTTGAGAGCCCAACGGCGGGTCCACATTGAGCTGGCATCAGACAGGGTTCTGAGGAAACAGACGCGTGACAACCGCCATCGGCTTTTGGAGGTTTTCCAGAAATGGTTGCTGCAAGATCATGGAGTCTTTTGGGAGGAGGTCATCAACAGGAGGCCTCTAGACCCGGAAGAGATCAACTCGTTCCTGGTCGCATACGGTAGGCAATTGCACGCCGCAGGAAAGTCCTATGCCAGGTTCTCAGAGACCATCAATGCTGTCGCTGCTTTGAGACCTATTTTGAAGAGACAGATGACGGCGTCCTGGGACCTCTGTTTTGCGTGGCTGGTAGACGAACCTCATGACCATCATCCAGCTTTGCCCCTTAGCATACTTTTGGCCATGTGCAGTTTGGCCTTATTGTGGGGATGGCCTTTGGAGGCCGCTATCTTCAGTATGGCCTGGACTGGTCTCTTGCGTGTGGGAGAGGTTGTCCATGCTGTACGAGCAGACCTCGTCTTGCCGACTGAGTCTGCTCCAGGAGTCAACTACGTCCTGCTGAAGATTGATGAACCGAAAACGAGGGGCAGAGGGGCTCGGCACCAGTCTGCGCGCATAGATCCAGAGGACATAGTCTTGCTGATTTCGGCTGTCTTCCGAAGGCACAGCCCTAGTCAGAAACTTTGGCCACAGTCAGCTCAGACGCTGCGCAGAAGGTTCAATCAACTGCTGGCAGGCTTGGGGCTTCCGACAAAAGTCCAGGATGGTGCTCGACCTTATGATCTAGGAAGTCTCCGTCCAGGCGGAGCGACTTTTCTGCTGAACCAAACTGAAGATTGCTCCCTCGTTCAACGAAGGGGCAGATGGCTGTCTTACAAGGTCATGAGCATATACCTTCAAGAAATAGCAGTCGCCACTTCTCTGCAGAAATTGTCAGAAGAGATCAGATCAAAGATCAATGATTTGAATTCAGTTTTTCCCGAAGTGCTGGCTACAGCTGTCCAGTACTTAGATTGGCAGATCCCTTGTGCAGCATGGTACCTGCTTTTCAAAGGAGCCACCCTGGATTAGACGGTCGAAAGTTGGGGGTTAATGCACGTAGCATCCATTTGGCCAACAAACGAACCCAATGCCTTTTGACAGATAAAGAGCGAGTGCTGCTTGACAATAAGCAGCTTGGGATGTTCTGCAAAACTCAAGACTCCCCCCCAGCGTTGGCACTGCCCGGCCCTTTGTTCACCAGGGTGACTCTTTGCACGTAGCATCCATTTGTACAACTTCATGGATGCCAACAAACGAACCCAATGCCTTTTGACAGATAAAGAGCGAGTGCTGCTTGACAATAAGCAGCTTGGGATGTTCTGCAAAACTCAAGACTCCCCCCCAGCGTTGGCACTGCCCGGCCCTTTGTTCACCAGGGTGACTCTTTGCACGTAGCATCCATTTGTACAACTTCATGGATGCCAACAAACGAACCCAATGCCTTTTGACAGATAAAGAGCGAGTGCTGCTTATTTAACATAGCCATGGAAAATCACCATTTTCAATAGGTAAACCATCTATTTTCATAGGCCATTTTCCATCGTTGCAGGATGCAGGAGCCGATGTCCTCCAGGACGGCCCAGCGGAGGAGGAGGAGCCCGGCAGCGGCAAGGCGCGGCGCGGCGCCGCGGCGTGGCCTTGGCGGGGCATTTGGTCGAAATTGGGGTGGGAGGTGGGGGAAAACCTCTGGAAAACCTCGGGGTCGAAATTGGGGTGGGAGTTGGGGGAAAACCTCTGGAAAACCTCGGGAAAATCGGGAAAAAACTATGAACATCATATGGAAACAAATTGGAAACAACATGGAACACCTGATAAGTCAGAGTCGTGTGGAAACCATGCATGAAAAATTAGATGGAAGAAAAACAAAAACAATAGAACACCCTGGAACAACATTGAAACAGCTTGGCATCTTTAGGATTCAACCATCCATTTCTTGAGTGTATACCGTGGCTCCCCACTAACATAACGACCCTGTCAGTTGTGGAGGTTGGAAAGCTACTTTCCGAAATTGGGGTTGGCTATTGTCAGGGTTTGTGTACGTTGGGGGATGGCATACATATATGCATATGCATCAATATACGATCTAATATAAGCATGGATACATAGCGCAAACCACAGTGAACATCGGGATTCAACTGGCATTCAGGATTTCACACAACAGGGGGGGAGTATTACTTACCAACAAAACTACCGAAATGGGTCTTGGAATTTGTGAAGAAACTCATTGCCCAAATCCTGAGACTTGGCGAAGGGGTGATGAATGTCACTGGTGTTGGCATTCGCAACATGTTTAGAATGTGTAACCTGGGGATTACCTGGAGTTCGATTCCCACGCAAGAGTGGAACGTGAGCAGAAACTGGATTGCACAGAATCCGTCAGAAAGATTCTTCCCCGCGCCATAGCCACATTATGCCACATTTTAATCATTTTTGATCCCCGGTTTTCCCCAGTTGTCCAGTCGGGCAGGTTGTCTTCAGTTTCAGTGCTCAAGGAGTCAAGGACCTTCCTGGGGAGTCGGAGAGCCAAGGGGAGCGAGACGACTCGTGGTGACTTAACAAGGTGTCCTCCTTGTTTTGCAGATCGAGCAGATCGAGTTTGTCTGAAAATGAGGGATAAAGCATGATAAAGCCTCAACTATGGCTATTTCAAAGGGAATGATGATGAATGATGAACCAGCAGACTGGGGCATCCGATTTTCAGAGAACCGCAGATGGTGCTTGTAGATCCATGGCCCTGAAATCGCCCAAAAACTGAAGTCGGAATACTTTTGACACTTCATACCATCAGTGACCATCAGACAAGGCTTTTCATGACAAATGAGCAGGGAACTTGGCCGTTGGCTTTCTGAGCTTCCCCGGAAGAGTTGACTCCGAAGTTGACTCCGACTTCCGCTGGGACAGTTCTTTCGGCTCAAACACGGTGAAAAGCAAAAGACAACCTTCGAACAAGCAGGTAGCACGCAGAATTCGACGACTGCTCGGAAGAAACGCCCCCCCACAGCCATGGATCCTGCAAAAGTCCAGGAACTCCGCAAAAATGAACCTAACAGGTTGCCGGTGGTTGTGTATTCCTTTCCTGGGGGCAAGAAAAGTCGAAAGAAACTTATGGTGAGCCACGATATGACAGCTGGCGACTTTGTGAAGTTTGTTCGCCAGCAATGCCCATGGGCTGCTGATGGCAATGTCTGGATCAAGAAAAGCGGTGGCCGCTTGAAGGTGCCAGAGCACCTTCTGGTGAAAGACTTGGATAGTCTCAAGTACAAGGCGGCAGACGATGTCTTGTATGTGGAAGTCCTGGAAGTCCTGGAAGTTGAAGTTCAAAGAATTCAAAGAACCACGGCATCTGAGCCCCAAGAGGAGATCGACATGTCGATGTCGAAGATGTCGACGTCGGTCCAGGAGTTCAAGATGAACGCAGCAGATCTTGGAGCCACTCAGCAGGTGATGAAGGTGACGCGCGGGTCTCGCCGAGTGCTAGAGCAAGCGCTAGAGATGTGCGTGAAACATCCTAATCATGTGCCAGTCTTGGTGAATCAACCTGAATCCCCCGGACTTCCACGGATTCGGCAGAACTACACGGTTCCCAGGGATATGAAGGTTCGGAACCTTCGAAAGGTCTTGCTCCAGGATAAAAAGCTCCAAGGCCCTGACACTCCATGGGACAAAGTGAAGATGCTGATGGCCGGCAACGAAGTTCAGGAGGACCAGTGCATGGGGGACATCTATGATTCTATGGTGGACCCTGACGATGGAGGCCTTCAGTTGCACCTCGAGTTGGATGAGTCCTTTGAGTCCTTTGAACCCTCTGCTTTTCTTTTAAAACCTCCTGAGCCTTTCGAGACTTTAGAGGACCAACCTTGCCAGCCTGCCGAATCTGCCGAGTCCAAGGCGACGGCCTTCAAGGGACCATCTTTCGAAGAAGTGAAGCACTTGCAGATGGCCTTGGCCGAAGCCGCGGAGGCCGAAAAGCTGCGGGAGCGGCTCCGTCAACAGGCGGAGATCCAGATTGAAGAGCTGCAACAGGAGAATGAGATCTGCCAATCGGAGCTGCGGCAGGAAATGGAAGCTCGGCTGACTTTGGAATCCCAAGTCCAAGTCCGTCAAGTGGAGCTGCAGAGCCAGGTGAAGACTCTGAGTGCCGCGCAGTTCGCTTTGAGCCAGTCCCTTGAAGAGACCTCAGCTGCGCAGCAGAAGAACCTGCTGCTGGAGGAGAGGATCTTGGCCTTGGAGGCTCAGCTCCAGGCTGTGGAGAAGGCGGAGCTGGCAGAACTGGCAGAACTGCCAGATGAAGCGCCGGAGGAGGACCAAGATGACCAAGGAGATATGGCAGCTATGGTGATGGTGGGTTGGGATCCAGAAACTGGCAGACCTGTGATCTCCGAGGAGTGCAGCCAGATCCAAGTTCTAGCGCCTTCAGTGCGAGGGTGAAAGATGCCGTCCCTTGGCCGAGTTGAATGTTTAATGAGAATATCAAGATGGCCACAGTTTCAAGCTGAAGTAGCACAGTTTCAAGCTGAAGTTGTGGCAGTAGCGGGGAGCCCGGAGAAAGAGTCTCGCCTGGCATTGTATAGAAACTGCACCGGGTCACGCCTTGCCGAAACAAAACAGGCAGTCGGCTTTTTGCTGGCCAGGCACTACAACTTCTTTGAGAAATTTATATATTTTCCAAAGTTGTCAGGAGGTTTCTACTATGGTTGATTTTCACCATTTGGAAGTCTCGAAGTATCTTTGGAGCGGACCGATGTGACCGAGCAGTTGTGCTCGCCGTGGACTCAGGCTCCAGACGTTGGTGGGGTTCTCCGGCTTCTGCAAGGAATTCCGGCCAGGGGACCTCAGAAGGATGGAAAAGGATGAACACTTCCACTAAAATCACTACTGGTTGGTGGTTTGGAACATTTTTCATATTCCCCAATCTGACTTTCATATTTTTCAGGGGGGTTGAAACCACCAACCGGACGAAAACATCTGCGATGACGTAGCAGAATTTGGGTGGATTTGATGCCGTTCCCAATGAGGTGTCCGGTTGCCGGTTGAACATATTGTTCATGGATATTGATGGCTCAAGTCTCGGGATATACTTGCATCATCCAAGAGCATCCGTTCGTTTAACCGTTAGCAGTAGCAACGCTTGAAATGAAATAATAGAAAAGTAACATCCAATCCCCAGATAGTGAATAGTGGTAAAAGTTCACTTTTTTCTACTTTTTCTGCAGCTTGTTGTGTGTTACTACAAGTGGTTTCTGTGGCCCTGATCGATTTTGTTTATTTCGGAGATGGCACGGCCGAGGACCAATGCGTCTCCAGAGCCTTCCGGTTGGGAGTTCACCAAAGAGACTGTGATCCGGTTGCAGAACCAGGACGCTTTTGGGCTGGTGGGCCCCCAGCCCATCTCTATGCCATGGCCAATGGGCCAATGGGATGATCTTGGGGCACCAAGTTCCCAATGGAGGTCCAAAGGAAATCACTCGACCAAACTTAGGATCCGTTAGATCCATGTTTTTGGTTGATTCTTGGCCAACAGAGCTGGAAACCCGAGAGTTTGTGCCTAACTTGTGATGACAACCCCACTTCACTAGATCATAATTCTCCATTGCCAACATCAGATTTTGAGCTTCGAAGAATATCAGAACTCAATGGTGACAAAACACGAGGTGCTAAAACCATGCATTTTTCATAGGTTCCCATGTTTGAGACAACCAATGGACCAGGATCTCTACAACGACATGGTGGAGCGGCCCTTGGTGGTCTCTTTGCGGGACGCGGCGGCGGACAATGCACCCATCGGCACAGGGGAGATCAGTTTGGTGCCCCTGCTGCACGACGCCACCGAGGTGCAAACAAGTCCTGCAGCACATGTGTTTTGGGCTTTTTCAGTCAGGACATCACTTTGGGAAGGGCAATTACTCTAAAACCCAAATGACATCACACGTGCCAACTTTGACCATTTCAGCAGCTTTTACATGTTTTTTTTGAGGGTTACATCTTCTGCAACCTTTGGCTGACAGGTGTCCTTAGACTTAGAGCTCAAGCTGGCACCCGACTACTACGCCAAGTGGTGGAAAGATGTCGGATAACCCAGTGAAGGTGAACCACTTGGGCACTGAAAAAGCATCCCAAGGTCCCATGGTTGAGAACATCATTCAAACACATTCAAACATATTCAAACACTAGAGTATCAAAATAATTTGAACCACTATAGTATAGATACAGTATATATAGATACATACTGCATACTATATATTATATACATTATATGTTATATTATATATTCACTTATATGTATATATACATTATATTACATAAAATATCATATATCATATCACATATTATATCATATATCATATATATATATATATGTATCATATCATATATGTTATGTTATGTTACATTATGTTATGTTTTTGAGCCGACCTCTCGGCCTGAGGATGAAGCGGATGATCCCAAGAAGAAGGTGCCCAAGAAGACTCGCAGCTGTTGGAGACGGGAAAAAATGATGGTGGGTTTTAACATGGTTTTACCACAAGGACTTTGGAACTATGATGGTGGTAAAATGAACTTTTTTAACATGGAAAAATGATGGTGGGAGCCATGAAAAATCGTGGATTTACCACAAGACCTTTGGAGTCAACTACTAGGAAATGCGTGGGACTTCCAACAGTTTTGGGTTTGTCCATTTGTCCCGGGGTATACCCTATACCCCTAAAATGCTACGACAATGGCACAATTCAGAATGAATCATGGGATGTTTGAGTACCCCGATGTAGTGACGAATTGAATGTTTTGGGGGAATCTCTACAGGTAAAAAAGCTGTGTGGAAGAGTAATTACAGTATTGAAACTCACAAACTTGCATGTTTCAAACAGCAAGGATGACCAAACTTGGATGGTACCCCGGCTCCTCCGTCTTGATCTGAAACCGGTGGTAAGATGGAGAGGTTTTGAATTGCTTCCCACCTCGAAGTAGCGAAGTAGACTAGGAGATGATGGTTTTGGGGGTGGATTTTGGGGCTATGTTTGGCGTTGTTTCGAAGCATTCTTCCATGAAGATCAGAGCTTCAGAGCCAGGACAAGAACAAGGCGCCAGCAGAACCTGCCAAGGACTGTCTAAACAAAACCCAGGCACTCTTCTGAAGAGGAAATGAGGCTCATAGCTTGAAGTGCGTTTTCACAATTATATAGGTCTCCATTGTGACCGTTGTTGTTGATTGCATCCCAACTTCCGTTGCCCACATCAACATTTTTGTTATCATCCAATCACGACTCAGCTCCATTTTTCTCGCATTTTGTAATGTCTTGTTGCTCACCCGAACCAGACCGGCAGATCTTCACCGAAGCTTTGTTTCAGGAGCGCGAGCCCTTGTTTGAAGGGGATGCGCCACCACCCACGATCCTGACGGTGCGAAACACGGGGATTTCAGTGATTTCAGCAGCAAAATATGGGACATTGGGACATGACCCTCTGAAATGTGATGGTTGATTCTAAGTCGACCAGTTGACCGAGAGCAGTGCCTGGTTATCCGGGATCTGGGGGATGGTTACCCTCCATAAATCTGGATCAAATGGGGACATGGTTTGGGTTAACATGGGTACAGAGGGGGTATATACCTAATAAGCAATCAAAGATCCCAGGAAATCTCCGAACTAAATGGAGGTTCATAACTAGGAGATCATCGACAAACACGAGGCATTTTCTAGCAAACTAATGTTTGATATAGCATCATCCGCTACAGGGAATCCTTATCAACAAACCAGTATATGGAAGGGGATGATACAAGGTCAGCATGAAATGCGGCGAAAGAAACGACGTAGGTTCAGATAGACCATTGGATTCTTGGGCAAAGCTTACTTTTGGACGAACCCATTTGTATCACAAGTTGGAAAGGGATTCATAGAGAAGTAATATGATAAGTATGGATAAGTCATGATAAGTCATTTAGGGATGGGGTTTACCTGGGTTCAGAGGAACATAAAATTCGTTGGGGGTTGGAAGACGACTTTCCAAGATTGTAAGTGTGGATGTCCAAGGTCCATGACAGTTGGGAGGAATCGTAACTCCATCACAATATACGTATGTTGAAATCAGAAAAAAAACATTTCCTTACATGAACCAGATGATTCTATGATATAGAATTGATATAGTATATATATAGTCCCTTATACAATCTTATACATATCAACCAGATAGTTATGTGTGTATATATATACATATATATAGATAAAGTTACCATATATATATATATATCTACACAAATTCTCCTTGCAACCAGAGAATTCTATCAGGTCTCTGTGAAGGTGGAAGATTTGGTGGGGCCTATGGAGGCGCCATGGCGGCGCGGGAGAGATGGAAAAACCCATTGGATTTCTTCGGGAAAATGATGAAACATATGGAAACAACATGGAAAAATCATGGGAATTGCCAGGTTAAAAGGATGAACATGATGGAACATGATGGAACATGATGGAAAAATGATGGAAAAATGATGGAACAATGATGGAACATGATGAATATGATCGACATTTCTGGTAGGGAAACTTGACATTCAAGGTGAAATCTGCATGAGACCAGGTGGACTTGAATGCACTAACAAGGTGGCAATGTCTTTCAGCAACTGCAGGGTATTTAAACACTAAAACAGGACATGTAGCTGAGAATGCTCCCTGCATTGTGTAGATGGGGTTGTGATTGCTACTTAAATTCTTCTTAAGCAGACCAGGTTCTATCCCCAAACCCTGGATCTCCAGTTACCATCCGTGGATCGCAAGCTGACAGGATCGCGAGTGTTGGACCATCCTGACCTTGGGAATGGAAGGCCTGGGCAGAATCCGGGGTACCATGGGGTGCCTTTTTTTGGTCGGTCACCGATGTCACTGGGGACGGCAGTGACGGCATCCCATCCATTTGTGGCCTCCGTCGAGGTGTTTTCGCCTTGCCCGAAGCACTGACCTCACTGGGTGTGACCAGCAGGGAGCTCGGGGAAAGCCGATGTGTGAGGTCTCCACTTTTTGAAGCTCTGATTGAATGTTGAGGGATGCTAATGGAAAGCGTTTGTTGATGTTTTGTGAACTTTGATTGTGAACCTTGAGAGGATCGAGAGGATGGTGATGATGATGATGATGATGATGATGATGATGATGATGATGATGATGCGGATGAGGATGAGGCGGAGGCGGAGGCGGAGGAGGACGACGAGGAGGACGACGACGATGATGATGGTTGATGGTTGATGGTTGATGGTTGATGGTTGATGGTTGATTCACGCTGATGGTTGTTGGCATATACCCATATTTGTGAAGTAGTAGAGTCTATATGAAGAGTCTATATGATCTATATGCCTTTGACCCAAAGCATTCGCTGTTTTCTCAGGTCCGGATGACTTTCAGGCTCGCGGAATTTTCAGAAACCATCACGGTGCCAACTCTTGCTTCACACGACTAGCTAGCCCCAAAATCATACGCAGAACGTGTGAAGCTGAGTCGCAGTTACAGATGATTTATAAGCCATCTTAAGCCTCAAAATTCAGTGAGTTTAGGCCATTTTGAAGCTATTTTTTTCAAGCATTTGAACTCTACTCTGAGCTTCCAGCGTTGAATTTTTCTACTTTCAGCAAGTCCAGTGATGCTGATCACCCTGTAACCTGCAGCCAGGCTCACCCCATCAGCTACAAAGCCATGCTTCTGGGAGAGCTGCTTGGGTAATCGAACATGGCTGGGAAATCTCCAAACTAAATGGGTGTTGAATGGGACAACATTGACAACATCATTAGAATCCATTGAAATCATCTTGAAATTGGCACTTGAACTATCTTGAACTATACTTCACTGGGTTAACCCCAAGTCTCACCCTCTTTTTTGGGTCCAATTTGTCAACGTAGCAAACCGCACGCGAACTTGGACCATTGGATTGTCTAAGACTGGCCCGGGCAACTGTTCCTGGGCGATGGCCACAAGGCCCTTTGGAGAAGGCTTGCTGACCAAAGCTGCTGAGGCACGATGTGATTGGAACATATCGATGTTTTTTTGAGATATCTAGATTATATAGACATGGAGGTTTCCTAAAATGGGGGGTACTCCCAGTCATCATCCATTTTAGATTGGGATGTAGCATGACATAAACCATCCATTTTAGGGTACCATTTTAGGAGGCCTCCACTTGTTGGTGGAATCCCGGTTGGTGAAGTGGTGATCCAACCATCGTTGGGATGCCGAGCGGGTTACTGTTGGCCCGTATCGATGATCATTTATCCATGAACATTGCTATGATTTATTGAGATAACCCCAAGATAACCCAAGAGATCACCAACTAACCCCATAAACCCAACTAATCCCCAAGATAACCCAAGCTTGAATTACTTTCAATGAATTTTGGGGATTCGTTGGCGAAAAACCATGGGGATATGGGGATGGATCATCCGGACAGCGCTCCGATGACACTTGGGGTACAGCAGTGAGGAAGGCTACAGGCAGCCAGGCAGTGTAGAATGTGCTGCATCCTATTCTCAAACTGGGGTTTTTGAAATCAACTAGTTCGGCAAGTGTCCTACAGGCCTTTTGATCCATGTAGCTGATATAGTCATAGTCTCAACATTGGGAGCTTCCAAAAAAGAGTTTGCATTACAAGGAGTGGGTTTGTCTCCGGTGAATCGTCATTTCCGCGTTAAAGAGCCAGAAGGTGGGTATACCTCATTTTCGGACACACCCAAATAGACTGAGGGATCTTGGGGCAACAATTTGCAGACACGCATGCTGCTGGCCATCGCACACTCACCCGCAACCATTTGGAAACTTTCGCGAGCGGGATGCCATAAACTGAGAGTTGGTGTTGGCGACCAGAACATCAGGAGAGGTCGTCAGGGAAAAGAGCACCGCATTATTCCTGCTGGTTTATATAAGGACAACATGAAACATCTCTCAACAGCATCTTTTTTATACATATCCTTACCGGATGCGGGGTTGAATCAATGACATTGAAACCCCTTTGTGTTTGAGATTATCATATCCTTTTATCATCCACTTCACGCGATCCGTGTGGTGTTCTCTTAAGCCTGGGCCTCAATGTCTGGAATGGCTTTGACTTCTGGGGTATGGATCCCAATTTTGATCCAGATGCCGCACCCGAAATCCAGATCAAGAGTTGGAATCGCATTTCGAATTAGTGTTGGATAAGTTTGACACTGTGTCATACTTTTTGGCACATCTGTTTTAGGTAATGCTGCAAACATGGTAAGAAATCATATCCACATGGGTTTTCGCAAAGATTTTGAAGCCATGCTGATTCCCGGGGACTGGATGACATCCATCCGCAGTGTTTTCAAGAAGCCTTTTTCTAGGCAGGGTCTCAACTCCCAAGTGGCTGGTCATCTCAAAAAGGATAATTATCCAAATCCATAAAGGTGAAACAACCACCCCAAAGATCCCCAAAGTGTTTTGATTGTTCTATTACATACTGTACAAACCAGATGCCCGAGAGAGCAAACAAAAGCAGCAGCATTGCCCTGAAGCAATGGATTCGGGTGCATCAACCATCTCAATGGGATTCAATTGCCCAAAGAACCTATTGATTGTGGGAGAAACCATGCCCAAATAACCTATGGATTGACGACCATCCCAATCTCCAGTGATTTCTGAGGATGGGATGCGCCGCCAGTCTACCCGCAACGCCGGCTGCTCCGATGGATCGGCTGCCTGGAGGGGTAGGCTCCGATGGGTGGAGGCTTAGTCAGCTTAGTCCCTGGATGTTTTTCCCTGCTGACCCTTGGTGGGCTTGAAAACAATGCTATCGGATAAGGTCATGATCCCAAAAGACTGCAGAGTTTCGGTGACCAAAACTGCCCAGTTTCCGCGAAAACCAACTGTGGTCTTGGTGGAATCGGTCAGAGTGAGCCGTATTCAATACGTGGTGTTTCCCACAGTTGGGGGTTCAAAGATTGATGGCTCAAAAATGGGGTGCCAATTGACCCAAAAGTTTGGCAGTGCATAGTGGTAAGACATTTGTTTTCTGAAGGCTAAACATTTTGAACCAGAACCACACTTATCATTTTAATCGGACCCCTTGGGAACGCCCCCAGGATATCCAATGAATGTTGGCAAGATCCCCATGATTTATCCATTAATGTGACATATCCGTAAATATCCGTACATTGCATTGATTATACTCTAGTGATCTCCACAGTCATTGCCCAGCATTTCTTCAGACTGCTCTTATCTAGAGGTAAATACGGAAAACAAACATCCGGATGGTGGCTGAGGACAAGGGTTCATTGGAAGCTGTCAAGTCTGCGAACCCAGTGGGCAATGAGCAAAGGCAACTCTGGCCCAGAAGGATCCACAAAGAGTCAGATGCGCACATATAGGATGAGATGCATTCATGATCATTCATGGATGTCCGAGGGTGCAAGATGATTAATGACCTTTGTTTCAACATCTTTAAAAGGTTCGCTTTGAAACTTCACATCTTGTCGTCTCAGGCAGGGTCTTTTTTCATGCGCCCCTCTCCAGCTCACCAGGTCTGGTGATGTCCAAGAAGGCCAACCGCGGTGAGACATCGGACCCCTCCAATGCCTCCAAATGGTCGATGCACGACCCATCACGACCCCGTTTGATGGTGGCTTATGGAGGAACGTAAAGCCTGCTGTTTGATTGGCGGTAATTTAGTTTGACTGGATTCATCGAAGATTCATCGAACACCCCAAGTTTGAAAGTCCCTAAATTCGGTGAGACGCTGAGAAACAGCAAAAAGAAACACCCTGCCCTTGGATCGGTGGATCTACCGTGGATAGCTATCACCTCCAGCCTTTTCAAACTGAGAGAGGTGCCAGAACTGAGGCCCCAGCAGTGAAAACAGTGAAAACATGTTATAAGTTATAACTTACAAGGTTTTCAAGGCTCGAGAAACTGATGTATACTGTAACATTTTCATTGAATTTGAATGGTCAAAACCTGGGCTTCAGGTGAATTTTCTTTGTAAATCGACAAAATCACCCAGCCGCTGGACCCAGCCCCCCACCATATCCACCTATTCGACCAGGCGCTCTGAGATCAAACGGATCGCAGGCGGGGTCGAAACTGCAGGATGTTCCCTGAAGTTTGCTCAGGTGCTTCCTGAAGCAACGGGGCTTTACCACTTTACCCATTACTTTGAAATCCAACTCCATTGCAGGGTTTCAGCTTGGTGGCATATAGTATGTATATTGGCAAATCAGTTGGCCACATATTAGCTCCCTTTATTTCCGGTAACTTAATCCAGCTATGGAAAATGGTCCATTTATAATCATTTATAGATGATCTACTTATTAAAGGCAGTGATTTTCCATGGCTCTGTGGCTATGTTAGTTTAATGGAGGGTACCATCAGGTAGCCTTTGTTTTGACCCAGGATTTCTCACACCAACCCTCTGAACGATCCACCAAAGCATCGACACGGAGCAGCGGAGCAGCCCGGGAACTCGGCTATGGTCAAGTGGTTGGTTGAAAGGGAAAAGCTGTAGGGGACACTGGATTTGAAGAGGAACATCTGAAAAATATGATCTAATCATGGGCAAGTTTCATGTCAAGTTTTCCAGAATTCGAGCAACAGCTTAGGACCTCAGTGGCCTTGTTTGAGACTGAGTGGCTGGGGGCTGGGGGCCAACAATTGAAAATTATCCTTGTCGGCCGACCCTTGAGGGTATTGAGAGGGGAAAACTAAAGTTATCACCTGCCCGGTCGATAGGGCCCAGAATCCAATATTAATATTAATCTAGGTATACCGAGTGACATAACCATCAACAATTGGGATTCGTGAAATTGGCTACAGTATACAAGGTAACCCCTATTGGGATATTGTTTATTATGAGCCCCTTTTATGTATCGTTACTGGCCAATTTTCGAGGTATCGAAGTTCGAACGACACCCATACACTGCTGTATACTTATCTCTTTCCTTACTGTCTGTGGTACGTTACACTCAGGTCCTGAGCCATGTGCAGAGTCACATGGCCAGGAGCTCAAAGATGTCTCAGTGGCCTAGCCGTGAAGATCCACAGATGCAGATGATGGCAATGATGGTGGCAAATACAAGCATTGTGCTCCATGATGATGATGATGATGATGATGATGATGATGATGATGATGATGCTGATGCTGATGCTGATGCTGCTGCTGCTGCCGATGATGATGATGATGATGATGATGATGATGATGATGATGATGATGATGCTGATGATGATGATGATGATGATGATGATGATGATGCTGATGCTGATGCTGATGCTGATGATGCTGCTGCTGCTGATGATGATGATGCTGATGATGATGATGATGCTGCTGATGATGATGATGATGCTGCTGCTGATGATGATGATGATGCTGATGATGATGATGATGCTGATGATGATGATGATGATGCTGATGATGCTGCTGCTGATGATGATGATGATGATGCTGCTGGTGATGATGATGATGATGACGACAGGGTTGTTGGCAACTGTTGGCCGTGATGATCATAACTTTAGCCGGACTTTAGCCCATGGGACGACGACCGCTGAGTCAATGGTGGACGAGGATGATGCTTTGACGGTCCAGAACTCATTGTGTCGATGTGTCCCTTAGGGAGTTGCTCGAAGCATCCCTGCGAATGTCATAAAATCCTTGGGCGCTCCTGGCAAAAAAAAAACACAGCAGGTCGAAGTAGACACTTTAGAGAGGTGCCTATTTTGCCAGTGGCATCCCCCAGGATTTTGTGCGGGCTACAGATTAAGACGTGCGTCTGTCAGACATCATCAAACCTGAGAGGAAACATCAATCACCAATCTCTATATGATATATACAGAGAGAGAGAGATAAACACGGACAGAGATGTATCTATCTATATAATATGTTTTTACATTACAGATGTTCACACATCCATATTTTTGTAATATACAGATTCAGATCAAGAGAAGTCCGACAGTTCCACTGCGGCACACCGCTCAACCGGCTCATCGCAGGCGAGCAACTTCAACCAGGAGACGGGCGCGTCCGGGTCGCAGCCATTCCCTGGTACTACCGTGATGGACTTTCAAAGATTTTTAGACATTTGTTTGTCTTTCTAGTTTTGAATCAAACCACCAATCAAATAGTCAGTCGAACAATTCAGATAAGTCTATGGAATTAATGAAATCATGCAATCATCAACCTTCATCAAGCAGTTCATCAACCAGTCAATCAAATAGTCAGCTCTTCATGCGCCAGTTTCGAGACTCCGAGACTCCGAGTGCCCGGGTCAGGCCCGACATGGGCAACGGCCCTTTGCGGATGAACTTGCGCAATGAGGAGCAGTGGTTCCAAAACACCTGCGGCTGGGAGCCCAGCGATAGCCCAGTGGAGTGGCACGAAATTGGAGCTCTGAAGTCTCTCTTTGGCCGAGACTGCCGTGGATAGTTGTGGATAGCTCATCACTTCTAGGATTCAGCCATGTTTTTGTGATGATTGCAGACGGCAGCTCCAAATCACATGCTTCAAGCGTTTCAACCGTCAAAGGTGGCAACCCACAAGATTTCCCGCGACTCGCAAGGCGGGAGTGGTGCTATGGGAATAAGGCCTCAAATGGCTAGTCGAAATTGGAGACTCTAAAATGTAACCCAGAAGCAGTGGTCATTTTGGTCATTTTGAGTATGAGGGGACAAAGAAGTGGGGCACCTGTGAAGTGTTGCAAGTTGTACTTTGACGAACCCCGAGAAACAAATCCTTTCAGCTTCCAACGAGAGCAAGACCTTGCCTATTGAGATGTTTTGCCGTGTTTTGCAGACCTGGATTTGAGTTTGTTTATATCCACTCTATTGAAAGTAAACATATATTATATAATATTATATTATATATATATATTATATAATATTATATATATATATATTATTTATTATATAATTATATATATATATACAAACAATTTATGCCATTTGTATTTAAATGAATTTGGTATTTTTTTCTGTCTATTGTTGTTGTTTTCTAAGAATCACTTTCACTCTCAGTTTGGGTGATCCGCCTCGCCCGACCACCACCTTGAACAGTTACCGATCAGTCGACTGGCTCCCCAATTTCTGGACAAATCTTGTTGACACCACCAACCATCTGTGATTTCCCTGATTTCTGGTGATTTTTTATATTTTTTCGTGATTTTACCCAACAAACATGGGGGATTTCTGGTGATTTTTTTCGTTTTATCCCCACAAGATGGGTCCTTTTCGAGTCATCAGGGAGTTCACCCGGCGTCGTCGAAGGCCACAGGTGCGGTGGCCATCTGGTCTCTCCGATGTGGATACCCTCTGGTAAACTAACATAGCTATTGAAAATGGCCATTTATAGTGGATTTACCCATTAAAAATTGTGATTTTCCATAGCTATGTTAAATTACCAGAGGGTAGATATGGTGCTCATATGTATAATTTTCATGTAATGATATGTAATGATACATGATTTAGGGGAATTTGTGGTCTTGTTAGCTTGATCGTTGCAGTTGCTACATGTCGTTCCAATTTCACCCCTACTGGGGCATGGGACAAGATCAGGCACACCAAAGCTGGATGGTTCGCAAGATGACAAGGTTTTGTGGATGCCCCGCAAAAAATGACCCAGACTCAGACCTTTTGGTGAACATCACCCTTTTTTATATGGTGAATTCCTACACTCATCCAGTAGATTGAAAACTATGTTTTTTTTCAAGATTTTCCCCAATTTTAGTGGGGATTCATTGAAATTTCCATATTCTATCTCAGGATGATCATATTTTGCTAGGTCCTTTTTATGGTCAATTGCTATTTTCATGGGTAAATTTTTACCAGGCCAGTACCGCGGATGGCAGCCAGTTGCCACTCTGGTGCAGCGAGAGTGGTGAATCTTCACCAGGCCCCACAACTGATCTTTTCAATGGGAAACCTTGGAGTTTTAGTGGTAACACTGCGTTTTTGTTCCCTTTTCAAATGGGAACATGTGCTGTGTTTTACATAGCACTGTTGGTGATAAACATTGGGGATTGTAGGGATTGTTTCTGGGAAATGGTGATGTAAAATGATATCAATAACACATATGTTTATATATAGTGGGGACACAATTAACAAAAAAAAGACGTGATTTTGAACAGTGGATGGTCACCAGGGATGCAACCGTCCATTTGGACTTTGGTATCCGCATAGGTCATGATTAATTCGACCTTCTTTCATGTTTGGTCTGACCTCACAAGGGATGCTTGGGAAATGTTGGGCCAAAGATGACACGTTTTTTTGTGGTTTGGGAATGATTCGCCCAGAGAAATGTTAAGCGGAGTGAATGCGGGGATGGGTTCAACAGTTTTTTTTCTACATTGCCATTGCCATCCCATATTAAAATGATTCCGGCATCATTCTTGATGGGTACAGGGGTATCAGGATTTAGACTCATAAACAATTCGCCACACGGATTTGGGTCGAAATGGGAATGGACCACCAATCTCTGGCTATTATTCCCATGTATCTCTACACTCTACACCAATGGACCGGGTTCTGAATTTTGAGACACTCAGTGAGAATTTGAATATGGACATCGCATCGGAACTTTGGGTTTTGTGCGATGATTCTGATTGGAATAGGGGTGTTCAATGAATAGATATCATTTTGATCACTGTTTTTTCATCACAGACACTTCCCAGTGAACAACTAAGAGGCAACTGATACTCAATGGCTCAATGGCATAGCAGCAATCAGTTGGTCCTGGTCGGGGCAGTCGCAACGCAGGCTCCACCCGTCGCTTCTCCACGCCAGTGCTGGCTGAAGCGCGCTTTGATGAACCCTCCAGCGGCTGGGACTCGACCATCCATGGTGGGATGGGATAGGCTTCAAGGATCATCTCACCATGGGATGACCTAACCGTGGGCGCCACTGGTGGTTTTTGGGATGACCCACTTAAGGGTAAAACCGGTTTTCAATGCTCGGGAAATCACCAGGACATACAGGACACCCCATCCCTCAAAAATTTGGGACCGCTGCGAAGGCGATCGCTTTTTTAGAGGCACCATGGAATATATGGGAAGAAAGCTGAGGTCGGAGGGATCAATTGAATGCAATCCGACACAAGAGGTTCTGCCAAATCCGTGATGTATGAGACACCGGCAGAGAAAAGCATCCGAGATTCGAAGGAAATCCTACCCCACCCCATCAGGACCTGTCATATTTGGAGTCATGAGCCCATGCGCCGATGATTTGGAAAATTTAACGTAGCTGTGGAAAATTTTCCAATTTTTAACGGGTCATCAGTTTTATATATGTTTATCATCTATAAATGAGTCATTTGCCATAGCAACGCGATGTCGCTATGTTAAATAACCCAGACCTGCCGATTCCGAATCGCCCCAGGTTTGCAGACGGAGGCGGAAATGTGGCGTCTTTGGTCTGCCAAGGATCGGAGGGAATTTTTTGTCGCTGACTTGGCAGTGTGTCAAAACCTTGTACCCCTGGTGAACATCAAAATAGCTGGTAAATGGATGTTCATCCCACTAAAAATGGTATTAATAGGTATTGATCCATACCCATTTGGTGGATCTAGTGGTGAAACAGCGTGGGCAAGGTAAATGTTGAGCGATCAGCTTTCCGAACGGAAATATAGTTCCAAGTTGGTGCTTTGAAGTATTTTTAGAACATATTACACACTCTCAAGAAATGGCATAAGATTCTCCCGGAGTCATCCTTTGGGATGTTTGGGGTTGCCACCCAAAATACAATGGTTCAGCCTAATTTCGGAATCACGATTTTGCGGCATCCCAACATTTCTTGCATGCTTAAACTCCCAGTTGTTGTTGGTTAAAATCCAATTAATTGGATGGTAGAAATCCCAATCGTTGTTGGTGAAATTCCATTTTTGTTTTGGATGGTTAAGTTCTGAATTGTTGTTGGTGGTTTGGAAAAAAACATATTTTTTTTTCCATATATCGCGAAGAGTCATCCAACAGATCCAACCGACGAATATTTTTCAGAGGCTCAACCACCAACCAGGACTTGTTGTTGGTTACCCTCTGGTAATTTAACATAGCTATTGAAAATGACTCAGTCGAAATAGTGGATTTTCCCATGAAAAATGGTGGATCTTTCCATAGTTATGTGGCTGTTTACCAGAGGGTAGATCACCATCCCATTTTGAATCCCCATGATCATCCAGCTCGTGAGGATTTTCCGCTGACGTCTCGCCGTGCCGATCAGGACCGGCCGGATGTCGGGGATGGGGATGTGAACATTGGGAAAACCCTGGGTGGTAGCGTCCAAAAAGTGGCAATTCTTCATAGGGCCATAGGGAAAATGATGATGATATAAGATTATATAAGGATATAAGGCGCAGATTTAGGGGTGGCCTATTTTCAGAGATAGATATTTGAATGAAGTCTCTGCAATTGTTGGACTCCACGAGTCTTTATTTGGGTGACCACAAAGGAGACGGTTCACCGTCGAAATCCACCAGGGGGACCAACGGTGAGGATTCGAAAGCGCTGGATTGCGGTTTCCTCAGCCATGGGTTGCTTTCAGGAGTCATCTCGAGAATGGGCGAAAATTAACTACTACTAACTATCCCAATTTCAACCAATAACGAAAAATCGTATTTAGCTGTGATTTAGTCAACAATGGTGAGTTCCAATGTGTTGTCCACTCCTCCAAAACACCTCTTTGGATGTTTAATTCAAATTAAATCAATCAAATCTCCATATTTCTTTTGGGTCAAGTCTTCAAATGTGGACCATGTGGACCATGTTTTGTCCTGGATGATACCACATCAGGTAGCGCCCAAGAGTTTGCCTCGCTCACCAGCACATGCCTTCCACAGGCGGGGGGATTCCTCAACCAGTTGGGGGATTTCCCAGCCGCCAGGTTTTCATTATACGGCTATTCCCATGTTTATATCATGAAATCACCATGACATCACCATGAAATCACCATGAAATCACCATGAAATCACCATGAAATCACCATGAAACCACCATGAAATCACCATGAAGTGATCATTGAGGCGGACGAAACGATCCTGGAAGACGAGGAAGCTCCGCAAAGCTGGCGCAATGAAAGTGTCCTCTAAGGTGGCTAGGAAATCCCCCGAACTCATGGAGGGTTGAATTGGAAAAAGCATAGGAAAATTTACGGGAACATGTGGGAAATCACCGAAGTAAATGGAGGGTTGCTGGGAAACTCAAGTAATGGAGGATTCTCCACTGCCATGATTGGAGGACTCTGCGGAGGCTCAGTCCTGTCTACGACGGTCCCACGTGCCGCCCGTGGAAGGTGCTGCGGGTGCTGCGAGAGATCGCAGTGGAACCATGAATTGGGAGATGAAGCAACAAAACTTGTCAAGAAGTGGGATTTTAACCACAAGACTGGGAAACTAGATAACAAGACTAATCACACCTGGAGATTAAGTAAGATTTATTCAACAATATATATATATATATTATAAATAGTCCACAGAAAGGGTAGAACAAACAAAACTGTGATCTCGTTGCCCAACGAAGCTATCCACTTGTGCTGGAAGCAGAGTCTGATCAACTCTGTGTACCTGCTTTTAAATGCCAACTTTCAATTTCCTGATGGCGACCGGCTAAGCCTAG